TGGCTTTGTCAGTCCTCTAGAAGTTTCTTCCAGTTCTCTTTAGTGATAAGCAGGTAACATTACTGCATGTGAAGATGACCACAACCAAATCTGTAGTTTAGGAGAGGGCTAGACTGGGCCTCCAAAACCCAATGCTCAGAAATGATTGGGTCAGGTGATGCAGTAGTACAGTACTGGGACTAAGAGAAGACAGATGATGTTAGATCTGGGAAATAAACTGAGGAAGACCCAGAGCTCTGAAGTACATTTCTGGAAAATAAAACACAAAAGATAACAATTCATTTCTGCTGAATGTCCACATACAAAGAATTTAAGGATGATGAGTCCAGATATAAAGAATAAGGTAGATGCCATCTGTGATGGTTAACTTTATATGTCAACTTGGAGGATGTTTTTGAGATTAACATACAAATCAGAGAACTGTGAGTAAAGCAGCTTACCTTCCACAATGAGTGTGGAGCTCCTATGCCATCATTAGAAGGCCTGACCAAAACAGAACCCGCCTCCCCAAGCAGGAGGGAATTCTCCAGCCTTCAGAGAAGAACTGCACCATCAAATCTCCTGGGTCTCTGTATTACTAGCCTTCAGACTGAAAATGCTCCATAGGTTCTCCTTGGTCTCTGCATATCAGGCCAGATGTTGAACTTGCCAGCCCCAACAACTGCATAAGCCAATTCCTTACAATAAATCTTTCTATCTATTTACATATTCTATTGGTTCTGCTTCTCTGGAGAAAAGAATACATCATCAAAGATGCTAAAACCTCTAGGGGTTTAAAGGGCGGTCATGTTTATTCTTTCATTCAAACATCACAAACACCTACTTACTGAGAATTTATAAGGGAGCCATGGACTATTGTTAGTGAAATACAGCAGGTAAAAAAATATGGACAGGACCTTTTTGTGACGTTCACATTTTAATGTGGGAAATACACAATAAATATACATTTATGTCAAGCAGTGGTAAGGGCGACAAAGTAAAACAGAAGTAGGGCAATGATAAGTTCAGACTGATGCAAAGAGAGAGAGTAGTTGGGCTTGTTTTAGATAGGAAGATTTCTCTGAAGGAAATATTTGAGAAAATATCTGAATGAAGGCAGTGAGCTAAGCAAAGATGTGTGGGGAAGACTTCAGGGCAAAAGAAATAGCAACTGAAAAGACAATGAGGTCCGTGTTAGAAATGCCAGAAGAAGAGACTGACGCAGAATAGAAAAGTGAGATAACCAAAAGGCCAGATCACGAAGAGCCTGGTGGGTATGGTAAAGAGTTTAGACTTTATTTTGAATATGATGGGATGTCACTGAAGAGCATGGCACGATCTATGTACTTAAAAAAAAAAAAGCCTTTATTAACTACTATGTAAAGAACTGATTCTAGGAGGGCAATAGTAAAAGCAGGGAAGACATTTAAGATGAGGTTTGAAGGAATGGAAAGAATTTTGATAAATGGTTATTCTGCATAAAGTTGACAAAATCAAAAAAGAATCTTAAAATTTGGGTACAAAGGTAAAAAAAAAATAGAGTCATGTGCTTAGGAATTAAAGTTCTAAGAACGGATGTAATCCTACGTAATAGCATATAAAAAGATGGAACAACAATAAGATATCACTATAGACCTGTCAGAATGGCCAAAATCCCAAACACTGACAACACCAAAGGCTGACAAGAAGGTGAAAGAAGAACCTTATTCACCACTTCTGGGAAAGCAAATGATACAGCCACTTTGAAAGATAGTTTGACAGTTTCTTATAAAACTACACAACCCTCACAATACAATCCAGCAATTACACTCCTTGGTATTTACCCAAGAGTCAAAAACTTATGTCCACACAAAAACCTGCATGTGAATGTTTAGAGCAGCTTTATTTATAATTGCCAAAACTTGGAAGCAACCACGATGCTTTTCAGTAAGTGAATGGATAAACTGCGGTACATCCAGACAATGAAATATTATTCAGTGCTAAAAATAAATGAGCTATCAGCCCTGGCTAGTGTGGTAAGGTGGACTGAGCACCAGCCTGTGAACCAGAAAGTCGCTCGTTCGATTCCCAGTCAGTTGGGAGCCAGGCTCCCGTTTAGGGGAACGTGAGAGGCAACTGGTCGGTGTTTCTCTCACATTGATGTTTCTCTTCCCCTCTTTCTCCCTCCCTTCCCTTCCCTTCTCTCTAAAAAGTAAATAAAATCTTTTCAAAAAATAAATAAGCGAGCTATCAAGCCATGAAAACACATAGAAAAACCTTAAATGCTTACTACTAAGTGAAAGAGGTCAACCTGAAAAGCCTACACAATGTATGATTCCACCTAAATGACATTCTGGAAAAGGCAAAACTATGGAGTCAGTAAAAAAGTCAGTGGTTCAGGGGTGAGGGATGAGGGGAGGGGGGAGTCCTTAGGTTGGGGGAGTGATGAATAGATAGACAGAAATTTTAGGAAGGGTGAAAATACTTTGTATTATGCTGCAACGATGGATAATGGCATCACGTATTTGTCCAAATGCATAGACGGTACAACACCAAAAGTGAGCCCTAAAGAAAATTAAGGAGTTTGGGTGATTATGATATGCCAAGTAGATTAACCAGTTGTAACAAATGTAGCAATCTGGTAGGGGATGTTGATAATGGGGAAGGCTATGCATATATGGGTGCAGAGGAATTATGAGACATCTCTGTACCTTCCCCTCAATTTTCCTGTGAACCTCAAACTGCTCTAATAAATGAGGTGTCAATTTTAAAAAGAGAGTGAACACAAACCTTGGGGGTATACTTAGAGATACATGGAAGCAGCACACTCAACAAAGGGAAACAGGAGAGGCAAAGTGTGTAAGATGAGCCCTAAGATACTATTATCAGAAAAGCCAAAAGAGCAAAGAGTTTCATGAAGCAACAGTATCAAATGCTATAGAATGATTGAGGAGATGTAAGAGTAAACCAATGAATTTTGTAAAATGATTTAAAATCTTGTAAGACAGTAATTTTAAGAAGGTAAGAAATCTTGGTTGCAAGCCAGAAAAATGTTTATATTTAATGAACTCAATCTGTTTTCTTCTAATTTCCTAATTAGGAACCCAGTAAGTGAAAAATACTTTGGGCCATCAATAGATGAGTTTATAAAACAACTACGGGACATTCACAGAATGGAATTCTACTCAACTATAAAAAAAGAAGAAAATTTTACCCTTTGCAATAGTATGGACGGACCAGGAGTGCTAAGCTAAGTGAAATAAGCCAGTAGAGAAAGACAAATACTGTAGTTCACTTATATGTAGAATCTAATGAAAAATACTTTGATAAAGGCAAAGAAAAAAGTAATTTTGGACTTCAGGGCCGACAAAGGGGGACAGATCAGTGCCACCCATTAATCTGAAGACAGAATAAGGAAAAGTGTGCCATGAAGGGAAGGCTCCAAAACCAAACTTCAACAATTCTACCTGGAAAGGGTGCTCTACTTTCTTCAACCTCTTAGCCCCACTTGGGTGATACCATAGGCCAGATTCTAACAAGGCTCCAATGATCTCCACTCCCTGCCGTTAAGCCCATGATTAGGGTTAGAGATTATTAATTACTTGACTTTGAATTAATCAAAAGGAGGTTACCCTGGTCGGCCTGGCCTAATAATAGAAACCTTTTATAGCTGGGTTTAGAGATCAGAAACAGGGAAGTAAAGAGATTTTGAAGTCAAAGTGACAAGCTCCTAGTATCCTGCAGGAAAGCAAATACCCATGTTATGAACTACCTGAGGGCCCTGTGGCAAAAACTTCAAGCAGCCTCTAAGAGAGGCTAGGTGAGAGCTAGTAAGAAAACAGGAACTTCAGTCACACAGTTCCAAGGGACTAAATTCTGCCAACAAAACTGCATAAGCTTGAAAGAGAACTCTGACCTCCAATCAAAACCACAAAACAGCCAAAACCTTGATTGCAGCATTGTGTGACACTGAGCAAGAACCCAGATCATTCAAGTCCCAAAACTGTAGGGAAATAAATGGGTGTAGTTTTAAGTTGCTAAACTTGTGGCATTTGTAATGTAGCAATAGAAAACTAACAGACACCATTTTCCTATGGAAGAGGCTGTTTCTCCTACCCTAATGAATGAGTAGGTAAGGAAACTTGGGCGGGGAGGGGGAGGGAGGTTCGCCTTTTAGGGATTTTATTCAATTACTGCATGAGTCACGGTTACCTGCTTTGCAATACAACAGGTTTCCAAAATATCAATTTTCTGAACAGTGTGATCAATGGAAATAGGTTTCCTTTTTAATTTTAGAAAGTTACTTTGATAATTATGACGAAATAAAATTGGGTGTCTAGGCGCTTTGGATGTTTGCCAAATTGTCCCAGCACCTTGGAGACACTGATCCCCGGGCTAATCTCAAAAATGAGCACAAGGTCATGACTCCTGTCCCTTAAGTACCAAGAGTCTGAACTCCATAAACTATAATCTTTTATTTTTGTTTAGGTTAATAATCGCTCAGAGATGTTCTCAGTTACGAAAAGAAGTCCCTCCAGAATAATTACAACTTTGACTCCTAAAACGCGAAATCTTAAGAGTCCGTGCACTTTCTTAAATATGCAGTAAACCAAGGCTCTGCATTTCCTGCTGGGAACTGTAGTTCTCCCCCTCGACCTTCAACCACTGGCTGCGCGATACCGATCACACGCACAACCGGCCACCCGGGCGCCAGGAGCCACGATTGGCCCTTGAATGGAGCAGCGCGGGGCTGATTGGATGATATGTCCCCAAAACCATGCCTCCCGTCCTGCGCTCGCCTACCCGCCACCTTCTCTTTTCCACACCCCATTCCGCTTCAGCAATTACCCTCAAGGCATCCCTATCAGGCGAACTCCCGAATTAAAGGCCCTGCGGATCCGCCCGAGATTATCCCGAAGAGGACGGCCCTAAAACACACCCTTATCCGGGGGCCTAGGCAGAGCGAAAGCCTACCCCACTTCCCATTGGTTGCCCCGGGGCCCGCTTCACCACGCGCTCCCTCCTGGCGCCTCGGCGCTCACCTGGGCGGCGGAGGTCACTCCGGATAACTGACAGACTCGCAGCATCTCGGTCGGGTGGACAGCGCTGCGGGTATACGCTGGAGCAGCCGGACCGGTACGAGTAGGAGAAGGCGGGCGTGAGTGCGTGCGTGCGTACGTCCGTACGTCCGTCAGTCCCTGCCGTCTCTCCGCGCTGGGCGTACCGAAGGCGTTAACGCCACTGCGCACGCGCATCCCAATTTCTCGCCCAGCCCTCGTAGCTCCTAGAGGGTGGGCCGTTCGTCGGTGGGCCGTGTGGTTTTTTCATTTCCGAGTTGCGCACTGGCTTCTGGATGGTACCCCGAATCCAAGGTTACTAGGTAAACTGGAGGAGAGGAAGGGCGTCTGAAACTCAGGCTGCGGTCCGCTCTGAAAACGGATAGGCGTGACTCTGGAGGATCAAGGAAGAAAGCATCTCAGCCGTCTCCGTCAATTTCGTAGAAAGGAATCGGTCTTTTGGCCAAATCCGTGTTGTCTTGGCTTGCGCATCGGTTTCGTTTGACAGTCTTTCTTCAGGAGCCTTCCAGATTGCGGGAGACTGGGTGAACAAACACTGGAGAGACCTTTGCGCATATGTGTCGTTCACGTAACTAATAGCAGAACGGGGATAGGAACCAGATGGATCGGGTTCCACAGCTTCTACTACTTAAAGAGTAAATTGCAGTTTTCGCCACTAAATTTTTATTTTAGAAAGATAATTTGGCCGCAGTCTATGGGACGAGTTGGAAGATAAGGAGGTCAATGCAGAAGCTCTGTTCAAAGTGTTCCACTGAGTCAATAATCAAGGTATAACACTAAATTTGAACACAGTATTCAATACTCTTAGTTCAGTATCATAGAAACTAAACTTGTATATCGTGTTTGCAAAGCACTTTCGAGTCTTAACTAGGTAATTTATTACTGTATGGCCCTTTCCCCAGAGGTAGGCAAGGCTACTAATTCCATTTGTAAAATGGAGAAATAGATTTGAAAATTACCTAAAATTAAACAATTACCTTTATACGAGTGTATATATTCAATGTACTTTAGTAATGACACTCCATGTCATCAACAGCCTCCAGATCAGTCGCCTATCTTTTTTAGTGATTTTAGTAGTTGAATTGCAGTTCCCCGCCCCCGTGCCCCCCCAACCCCCTCCTCCCCTGTTGTCATGTTGGGTGATGTCAGTGTGATGACTTTTCTAACACCTTGGCCATAAACCTCTCATCAATAAGCAATTTCAGTCTGCTCAAGCCTTGTATGGCCCAGCCACCCCTTGAGCCAGAACATCATTAGCAACTTCAGCTTCAAGACTTCAAACTACAAAATTATTTCCTATAGTTTGCTAACCTCTCATTTAACCAAGTCCCCAATCCTCATCTTCCACGTGCAATTTATGATTTTTTTTGGCTTTAAAATGTACTCTCCTAAATTCAAATTTAAATCACATCTCTGTTCAAAAAGTGCAGTGATTCCCACTGCCAAATCAAAGAGCCTTTATGTCTCAGAATACTTTTCCAGCATATGTGGATATTCCCAGGCTCAAAGTGGCCACTGTAGATATGAGATTAAGACAGCAATAGTAACAGTCCAAGCTCATCACACACATATGCCCTATAACCCAGTGAAACTAAAGGATAACCATCGCAGCGGTTCTCAAAATGAGTGGTCTGGTACCACTGGGGAGGCTCAGATTCTTTAAGAGAGTCCATAAAATCAAAACTTAACTTCATAGTATTAAGGTTATTTATTTGCTGTTTTCATTCCTTATCTCGTAGTTTTTCCAGATATCTCAATAGATTGAATGCATAAGCAAATTCCAGAATCCAGCTTTCTATTAAACCAGACATTAAAGAGATTTGCAAAAGGGTTAAACAATGCCACTCTTCTCTCCAATTTTTTTTTATCTTGGAAGTGATTTTTCATTAAAAATGTGCTAACATGCTATAGGTTTATTGTTTTAAAATAAGTATGGTAGGCAGAATAACTATACCCAAATATGTCCACACTTTCATAATCTTTGGAACCTGTGAATATATTACCTTAAATGGTAAAAAAAAATTTTTTTTTGCACGTGTAATTAAGTTAAGAATCTTGAGATGGTAGTACTATCCTGGATTATCTGTCTTGGTCCAATACAATTGCATGGGTCCTGATGAGAGAAAGAGAGGGGCGGGAGGACCACTCAGAAAAGGAGATGTGGCAAAGGATACAGAAGTTAGAGTGATGCAATTACTGGCTTTGAAGAAGGAAGGAAGCCTCAAGTCAAGGAATACAGATAGCCTTTAGAAGCTGGAAAAGGCAAGGAAACATTCTCCCTGAGTTTGAACACACACAGGGGAGTTTGAACACACACGGGGATGTCCAAACTGCGGCCCATGGCCATATGTGGCTCAGGATGGCTATGAATGAGGCCCAACCCAAAATCATAAGTTCACTTAAAACATTATGAGATTATTTTGTGATTATGTGTGGCAATGTATTTAACGTGTGGCCCAAGAGAACTCTTCCGGTGTGGCCCAGAGACACCAAAAGTTTGGACACCCCTGCAAAGAACACGGCCCTGGAGACCTTGTTGTTAACCTGTGAAACCTATTTTGGATTTCTGACCTAGAGACTTATAGTAAGTTTATAATTGTTCTAAGCCACTAAATTTGGGTAATTTATTATAGCAACAACAGGAAACTAATACAGTAAGTATTTTTAATTTTTTTCAATTTAAATTTTCTATGCAGTAAATACTAATGGATACAATCAAGGGAATTAAAAGCTCTTTGGGATCCTCAACTTGTAAGCATGTAAAGAGGTTCCAAGACCAAAAAATTTGCAAACCAGTGCTCAAAACAAATCCTGTGTTTCTGTCTTGGCTTCCTCTCTTCTCACCTTAGCCCTTGGTGTTCTTACTGTCAAGATTGACTTTGCCCTTGTCAAAATCCTCCCTATTCTTTAAGAACCATGTTGCATTCTATGTCTTTGTCCCTGATTATCCCAACCAGAAGCCTCTTCTCCTTAACTTTGAATTTCCCCTGTGGGTCATTTGTGTGCCTGGTACTTTCTCATTAAATGTGAACTCCTTGAGACCCAGTGTTTAACGCTTATCCATTTCAACAGTAAACAGCGTAATATATTGTAGATGCATGAAATATCTTAGGCAACAAGGACGGGAGAAAGGTTTGTTGGGATTTTGTTTGTTTGTTTGAACAAACATTAGAAAAAACATTCAGCCCTGGAAGGGCAGCTCAGCTGGTTAGAGAGTCGTCCTGCTACACCAGTGTTGCGTGTTCCATCCCCTGTGGGGGCATGTACAGGAATCAATCAATGAATGCATAAATAAGTGAAACAACAGATTCATGTCTCCCTCTCTTCTCTCTAGAATTCAGTAAGTAATTTTTTAAGTAATAAAGATATACAATCCCTAATTCTCAGGATTTAACAAGGAACTGTTCAGAAACTGCAGATTGTTCAGTAAGAGTTGAGATGCTGTTCACCAAATAACAATCAGTGTTACTGGTTAGAAAAAAATGTTTACGTTAGATATCCTTAGAATATTTACATTAATTTGATTATAGTTGGCATTCAATTTTTTAAAAATAATTTTTTGTGATGGATGGGAAGAATATATTCAAAGACAACAGAGATTCTTTCTTAAAAATGATTTTTAATAATATTACTATTTCCCATTCATCTACCAGTTTTGGAAGGAACCAGTTTCATTCTCTCATTTAATAAAATGAGCAAAAAGAAATTGTGTTTCAAATGTCAGGTATTTTAAATAGATCTCTCAATCAAATGTTCAATAAAAATTTATTAAGAGCCTACTATATGCCAGGCGCTTGTTTTACAGCAGTGAACGACAGCCTGGCACATACAACGCTTTAAATAAAGGTTGACCGTTCCTTTCATTGTTTTCCCTGCCTTGACTCCACCCAGATTAATTTACCTTAATAGTCCTTTGCCCTGATCATTTTAGACCCAATGCGGCCGCCGTAGGGCTGGGGGTGGTAAGATGGCGGCCCCTGCTTTTGCTGGTGCGGTAAGAGTAGCTTCAGGTCAGTGGGAAAGCAACGCGCTCGATATTTGCCTTAACAGAAGCGGGTATTGGCACAGGATATAGTGGGTGTTTAGCGTGTACGGTAACAGAAAAAAGCGTGGGGCGGGGGGCCTTATTTGAGGCCAGAGCGTTGTTCCGAAACTCTGACCCTCGCATAGTTGGGTGTCTCGAAGTTTCCGCTTCCTTATCGACTCCTGGCCATTCCTTTTTATTTAGAAAAAGCAGGACTGGACGAAGGAGGGTGAGGGGCCAGAACTACCACTCACAACCTTTGACCTTGAAAAAGTTATTTAATTTCTCGGAACTTCGGATTCTACGGCTGTAAACTGGGGATAATACCATCTACCTGAGGACTAAATGAGCCCCAGCCCGAAAAGTGCCCTGCGTGGTGCCCGGTACAAAGTAATTTGTGTGTATGAGATTCACCCAACGTACAGGAAACGTGGCTCTTATGTTCACTCAACCTCCCGCACAAGGGCACTTTTAAGGATTTCTTGAGAGAGAGGATAGGAAATGAAGGCCACTTAATTGCGTAAGGACTTTTGCAAAAAAGTTAAAGATCATTCAAGTATGTTAAGATTACAGTAAATTACTTTCACAAAAAAATAATTAGGATAAAATGCTGTAGAAGAATATAAATTTAAAAAACCACGATGTAAAATTTCTAGCAGAAGAGCTTGTTTACATGGGATAATTTTAACCCGTAAATCAATAAAGAAAAATTTATATAATATACATGAGTGGCTTAAATACAGGCCTACCTAATTTTATTGTAGTTTGTAGGTATTGTGGTTTTGGGGTTTTTTTTTGTTTTTTTGTTTTTACAAGTTAAAGGTTTGTGGTAATTCTATGTGGAGCCAAGTCCATTGGCACCATTTTTCCAACAGGCCCAGATGATGGTTAGTATTTTTTAACAATAAAGTATCTTTCAATTAAGGTAGGTATATTATGTATATTGTTTTTTAGACACAATGCTATTGCACACTTATTATACTAAAGTATAATCCAAACATAACCTTCATACGCACTGAGAAACCAAAAAATTCGTGAGACTTGCTTTATTGTGGTATTTGTTTTAGTGCAGTGGTCTGTAACAGAGCCCACACTGTGTGTCCACGGAATGGCTGTAACTCTGAAGCAAACCTCCGTGTAACTAACACCCAGATCAGGACAGAGAACACTACTGGGAGCCTCTTTTCCACCCTCATGGGCCTCCTCAGTCAAAGTCCCTTTTTTTGCCAAATATAAACACTATCCTCATTTTTATTATTACCTTGTCTTTTTTTTCTGTAATAGTTTTAGCATCAATTTATGCATTTTTATGTATTGCCTTTCTCTGTACTCTTCATGAATGGAATGTAGTCTTGTATCTTCTTTTACTTTGTGAAATTCATTTTGCCATGTAGCTGTAGTCCTTTCTCTTTGCTGCTATGAAATAGTCTCTTAGTAACTACCTCACAGTCCTCCATTTTAATATCGATGGGCATTTGGGTGTTTTCCAGTTTGGGGCAATTAGATACAATGCTGTTTGATATTGTGTCTTGGTACATGAGTGCTAGAGTTTCTCTAAGAGGGGTGTGTGTGTGTGCCTGTGTGTAGTTCTTTTATGGAATACCTACTTAAATATGTTGCCCGTTTTCCTATTGAGTTGTCTTACTGATTTATGGTTCTTTATTCATCCTGGATATCCAAACTTTATTATTTAAATATGTTTTCTAATATCTACTCCCACTTTGGCTTGCCTTTTTAATTTACTTCAAGTATCTTTTGATGAAAAGAAGTTCTTATTGTCATCAACTTGAATTTATTGTCCTTGTGTTGTTTAAATAGATGATGGAGGTGGGTATCAGCTCACTATGATACGTAGATTCCTTTGAAAACATTTAAAAGTGATGTGAAATCTTATTTTTCAGTGTCAGTATTTTAAAAACACTGGAAATTATATACTTTTAAAATTTATATAAATTTTTTACATAGTACATAAAATCTTATGAAAGCATATGTAATTTTTCAGAATTCTTTTAGAGATAAGGGACCAAAAAAGCTTGAACATTTTAGACACTGGCACACTCACCTCCTTGCCCCTCCCCCATTCCTTTGATTCCTGAACCCACACAGGGCTATTTATAATTCCCCAAACATACAACATCATTTTTGCATCTTTACGTGTGCTTTTCCTGTTCCATCTACTTCCTTTTATTTCTTCACAACTCTTGTTTTCTGTCACTTCCTTTGTAGAAACATCCGTGTTCTCCATATAAAATAGGGTTTTTAGAGAAAGCTGACCTCTGTTAACATGCCCGAATGGGCAGAAGACTGACGGAGCTGTAAATTTACTATGCTTCGCTAGTGTGTTGCCCTTTTTTAAAAAATCTTCACCAGAGGATTATGTTTATTGATTTTTAGAGAGAGAAGAAGAGAGAGATTGAGAGAGAAACATTCATTGGTTGCCTCACGTATGTGCCCCAACTGGGGGTCAAATCCACAACTTAGGCATGTACCCTGACTAGGAATCAAACCAGCAACATTTTAGTGTATGAGACAATGCTCCTACCAGCTGAGCCACCCCACCAGGGCTGTGTTTACCCTGTTTTGTTAAACACAATCTGACTTTGACTCTGTTTGGTTTTTACAAGCTAAATCACATGCTTGGTCCATGAGAGGGTATGATGGATAAAGTCCCCCCAAATCATTTTCTTAGGATCTGCCCTCAAGCCAGGTTTTCATTCTTCTGTTGCCCATTTTTCTAACCTCAGTGTGTTTCTCACCGATTTCATCTTGTTCATTTTGAACTTTTTCTTCTTGCTGGGATCAGTTTGAGTCCACGTAGTCTATCTTTTCACAAATATGTTTGTAAGCCATGGTTTCCAACTTGGTTTTGGTTTTTGTTTTTTTAAGATTTTATTTATTTTTAGACAGAGGGGAAGGGAAGGAGAAAGAGAAGAAGAGAAACATCAGTGTGTGGTTGCCTCTTGCACATCCCCTATTGGGGACCTGGCCTGCAACCCAGGCATGTACCCTGACTGGGAATCGAACCGGAGACCCTTTGGTTTGCAGGCCAACACTCAGTCCACTGAGCCACACCAGCCAGGGCCCCAACTTGTTTCTTATGCAGATTTAGTAAACATGCCTTATGCAGCTTCAGGACCTTCATAAATATGGAGGAGAAAGGTAGTTAGGGAGCCAGGAAAAGACTTTCACCAGGAGAACAGCAATCAATTAATTTGGGGATAGTTTCCAGTCAGCTTGAAATTTATCTAACTCTACTGTTATCCTGCCCACATTTTGGAATTTCTTTAGATTGTAAAAAAACCTTTTCACATGCCTTCCTAAAGTCAGGATACATTCTCTAGACATTCCCATGATTTCCCTGGCTAGTGATTGCATCAAAAAATGAGCCCTGGCTGGTGTGGCTGGATTGAGTGCCAGCCTGCAAGCCAAAGGGTCGCTGGTTCAATTCCCAGCCAGGGCACATGCCTGGGTTATGGGCCAGGTTCCCAGTGGGGGGCACTCGAGAAGCAACCACACATTAATGTTTTTCTCCTTTCTCCCTCCTTCTCCTCTCTAAAAATAAGTAAAATCTTTTTTTAAAAAAACGAAATGAAGTATTTTTAAGGAACAGTTCATTCCCAGCTGACAATATATTTTGTTCTATGAACTTTCTGTTTATTCATTCTGACATTTTCCCTACAGATGCGCCTATAGTTTACACATTTGTGTGTTCTGGACTCTCATCTGCTCACTTCCTTTAGGCTTCGTTTCCAAAAATTTCTGAGGCTTTTTTTTTTTTTTAACTGAGACATCAAACTCTAGTGACCTGTTAAAACTGGGACATTTTCTTGTCTATACTCTTCTTTGATTTACTTACTCTTTCAAAGATTGCCTCCTGCCTTGTACTCGTATCTGCAAATATTTTCAGTTCTTTGAGATATAATTTAATTTGTACCTGGAGCTTCAATGTCTGCACTGAGAGAATTTGACTTACAAGTACCTGGTGTAAGGGCGCTCTGACTGGTTTCCTGAATCTTGATTTCAGTAGCTAGCTCAATGTTTATGCTATTTCTTTTTTCCAGTTTGAAAACTGTTGTCTTTGATGGAGAACACAAAAGCAAAATAAGAGTTTTAAGTGTTCCATTTCCCTTTCCCCCCCTGTTAACATTGTGCTGTCTTTGCTCAGCGTTCCTCAGCTCTTTATTATCTGCTTTAAACCTCCATTAAATGATTTCTCTGTGCCAAGCACTCTTCGTAACACTTTACATGTGTTATCTCATTTAATTCCCATTACCTTCCCATGATAAATTTCATTTAGATTTGAGGAAGCTGGGGCCCAGAGAGGTTAAGTAACTTGCCTATGCTCACAAAGCTAGCAAGCAGTAGAGCTAGTAGTAGTGTAGTAGTACAGCCAGTCTGACTCGGACTCTAAGCACTTCACTTCCCTATCACGCTGCTCTTCATTTGTCACGTGACATTCATGCAGTGGACAGTAAGGCAGTGGTTTTCAGCCCAGGCTGAGCTGGTGACTTTCTTGTAGACCTTTCTAAAAAGTCCATTGTTTTTTTTTTATTTTTTTTTAATTAATTTATTTACTTTTTAAATACATTTGTCTCTGCCTTCCCCCCACCTCTTTCCCTTGCCCCCTCCCACCTTCCCTCCCTCAGCTCTTCCGCTTTGGTTTTGTCCATGAGTCCTTGCTATATGTTCCTTGACTTTCCCCTTCCCTTCCCTTTCCCTGCCCCCCCCTTCCCTCTTGTCTCTGTTGATTTCTTTTCCTTTCAGTGTTGCTGGTCATATTTTCCTTGCTTCTTTGCATTGTTGGTTAGGTTCCGCTTATAGGTGAGATCATATGGTATTTGTCTTTCGCCCCCTGGCTTATTTCGCTTAGCATGATGCTCTCCAGTTCCATCCATGCTGTCGCAAAGTTTAGTACTTCTTTTTTCTTTCTGCTGCGTAGTATTCCATTGTGTATATGTACCATAATTTTTTGATCCAGTCATCTACTGATGGGCATTTAGGTTGCTTCCAACACTTGGCTATTGTAAATTGTGCTGCTATGAACATTGGGGTGCATAGGTTCTTTTGTATTGGCGTTTTGGTGTTCTCAGGGTATAGTCCCAGCAGGGGAATCGCTGGATCAAAAGGCAGTTCCATTTTCAGCTTTCTGAGGAAATTCCACACTGCTTTCCATAGTGGCTGCACCAGTCTGCATTCCCATCAACAGTGGACTAGGGTTCCCTTTTCTCCACAGCCTCGCCAGCACCTGTTGTTTGTGGATCTGTTTATGATGGCCATTCTGACCGGTGTGAGGTGGTACCTCATGGTGGTTTTGATCTGCATTTCTCTGATGGCTAGTGATGCAGAGCATCCTTTCAAATGCCTCTGGGCCCTCTGTATCTCCTCCTTAGAAAAGCATCTGCCCAGGTCCTTTGCCCATTTTTTGATTGGATCGTTTGTCTTCTTGGAGTAAAGTCGAGTGAGTTCTTTGTATATCTTGGAGATCAAACCTCTATCTGATGTATCATTAGCAAATATATTTTCCCAAATGGTTGGCTCCCTTTTCACTTTGCTGATGTTTTCTTTAGCCGTGCAGAAGCTTCTTATTTTGATGAGGTCCCACTTGTTTATTCTTTCCTTTATGTCCCTTGCTTTAGGAGACATATCAGTGAAAAAATTGCTGCGTGGGATATCTGAGAGTTTCCTGCCAATGTTCTCCTCTAGGACTTTGATGGTGTTGCGACTTATATTTAAGTCTTTTATCCATCTTGAGTTTATTTTTGTGTATGGTGTCAGCTGATGATCCAATTTCAATTTTTTGCATGTAGCCATCCAGCTCTCCCAACACCATTTGTTGAAGAGGCTGTTATTGCCCCATTTTATGCTTCTGCCCCCTTTGTCAAATATTAGATGTCCATAGAGACCTGGGCTTATTTCTGGGCTTTCTATTCTGTTCCACTGGTCTATGGGTCTGTTCTTGTGCCAGTACCAGATTGTTTTGAGTATAGTGGCTTTGTAGTAGAGTTTGATGTCCGGTATTGTGATCCCTCCTACTTTGTGTTTCTTTCTCAAAATTGCTGTGGCTATTCGAGGTCGTTTATGGTTCCATATAAATTTTTGAAATGTCTGTTCTATTTCTGTGAAATACGTCGTTGGTATCTTAATAGGGATTGCGTTGAACCTATAAATTGCTTTTGGTAGTATGGACATTTTAAGGATATTAATTCTTCCAATCCATGTGCACGGTATATGCTTCCATTTATTTGTGTCTTCCTTAATTTCTTAAAAAGTCCATTGTTGAGGTGTAATTTACATACCATAAAATTACCTCTTTTAGGCAGGGGGAATGGCCACAGGGACAGAGCAGGTGGTAGGACTCGGGCTCGTCACCTTCACCTACCGCACCATGTGGATGATTCTCTTGCTATTCATTGACAGCCAGCTGGTTATCCACAAGGATTTCCTGCCCTGAGCCTGTGCTGTTGCCATCTCACAAGTCACAGGCCGCCTGCCATTACTGTGTGTGGGAGTGTTCATCACCTGGGTGATGCTGAAAAACCAGAAGGTGACCAAAAGGGCTCATGAGGGTCTGGTGGGGATGAGGCTGCTGACAACTCCTGCCTCCCCTCCAGGGCACAGCAAGGCCAGAGACCCACAGGACCTGTCCCAGGCCCTGCAGCTCCCTCAAGCATGGCCTCCCTTCAGGCACCCTTGGGGGATGGAGTTGTGCAGGACTCGCCCCAAGGCCAGGAGGAAGTACCTGGAAGTCTCCTCTCCTCCTCCTGGTTCAGGGTCTGAAAAATGCTGGCCCTCCATACCTCACCTTCATACCCCCTGTCACTTTTTTCTCTGAGTTCTACCTTCCTCAGTTTCCCTCCTGTCACATGCTGATTCTGGAATTTCCAGGTTCTGAGACATCACATGGCCTCTCCCTACATCTACTTTTCCTCCACAAAGGCAGCTTTCCCAGGTCTGACATAGCCTGGGACCCCACAGGACTTTTGGGCCTGGAAAGCCTAGGGGAGGACTGACAGGCCTCGGGACCAGCGCCAGGCCTCAGGGCACATAAAGATGGTCACACCAGGCCCCCAGACCCACTTCTCATGAAGGCCCAGCCCCTCAGCCCTACCACTGGCCTACTGGGGAGAGCTGAACAGTATACGTTGATGGTGTGTTAAAAAATTACCTTTTTAAAAGATTGTTTACTTATTTATTTTTACAGAGAGGGGAAGGGAGAAAGAGGGAGAGAAACATTAATGTGTGGTTGCTTCTCGCATGCCCCGCAACCAGGGACCTAGGCATGTGCCCTGTCTGGGTATCGAACTGGCGACCCTTTGGTTCACAGGCCTGCGCTCAATCCACTGAGCCACACCAGCCAGGGCAAGTTACCTGTTTTGTGTGTAGAGTTTGATGACTTAGTAAATTTTGAGAGTTGTGCAACCATCACCACAATTCAGGTTTAGGAGAGTTCCATCCTGTGGAGGTTTTTCACATGCATACTTTTCTCGAGTCCCACACGAGACTCAGTATCTATAATGGAGTCAGAGCTCAGTGATTCTGCTCTGTAGACGTGGGCTCAGTCTGGCTGTAATGTTAAGGATGAAGAGGACTGTGTTCAATCCACATATCTAGGCCCTTTATGATCTGTCTTGTGACCTGCCTGCCTTATTTCCCACTACTTCTCCCCAGGCAATTCTGATACAGTCAGGCCAATAGTGCTCAGCTTCCATGGCAGTTCCAGTCTCCAATGCAGACATGCATTTGTTTCAGTCTCCTTGTTTTTGTAATATGTTTGTCACCCAACTGGACTGTACTTCGTTATGGCCTGTTTGTTTTCTAGATGAGGGTTAATACCTCTTCTGTTTCCTTTATATATCCTCCTCTTGCCACTCCTCTCTCTCCAGGGAGCTGTCAGGCTGTCTCGTCTCCACCCTGCCATTGCACCATGTGCAGGAGTTCTGTCTCATCAGAGCATAAGATCTGGTGGGTGGGAATTAATGTTACATATATGTTCTTTGTACTGTTGAACATAGAACTCGGACACATCAGACTGGATCATGGTGATGGCTGCACAACTCAAAATTTACTAAAATGCATTGAATTGTATGCAAATGGCTAATATTGCGGTATATAAGTTATACCTCAATAAAGTTGGTAAAAAGCTCCACAGATGAATCTGAGCTTCATGGCACATTAATAATGTATAACACTTAGTTGCTTTTAAACATTTTTAATTAATTTAAATATTTGGATGCACATTTTGGAGTGTGTTAGTAAACATTTACACTTCTCTGCCTTTATAGGAATCTTGCGGCCCCTGAATATTTTGGCGTCTTCAGCGTATCGAAGCTGTGCCAAGAATGCCTGTCTTAGTTCGGCACTGCCCACCCGACAGTTTTGTCGTATTCAGACTTCAGTTGTTTCCTCTGCTCCCAGGCTTGTTACATCTGTCAGTAACCTGACATGTGGGCATACAGCAGCAATCCTCAATAGGTATAGTATATTTGAGTAAACATGATCTTGGACAAAAATTCTAAACTATTCATGTCTACAAAGACATCTTAGAAAAAGATGGTATTTTGTGTACCTGCAGTTTATTATGTGTACCTTGCTTGATGGAGTAGGATTATACGACTGACATCTGTATGACTATGTGTCAGCAGCAGGGACTACCAAACAGCACGCTTCTGATGTCTAAGATGTGGTTTCCTGGATGGGACTGTCAGCCAAAGTTGGGGGGGAACAAGATGCTTACCTTACAAGGCTGGGCTGTGTGTGGTGGACATTCAATCAGCAAATACTTAGTTAAGCCCACCTGAGTGCCTAGCACTGTACTTGGCAGAAAGGATACAAAGATAAACAAGTTGAAGTCCTTAGGAAGCAGTAATCTAGTGAGAAGATGGATTAAAAATCAGATGATTGAGCTGTGGCTGGTGTGGCTCAGAGGATTGAGTACCGGCCTGCAAACCAAAGGGTCACTGATTCAATTCCCAGTCAGGGGACATGCCTGGGTTGCCGGCCAGGTCCCCAGTAAGAGGCACATGAGAGACAACCACACATTGGTGTTTCTTTCCCTTTCTTCCTCCCTTTGCCTCTAAAAATAAATAAAATCTTTAAAAAAAAAATCAGACGATTGAAATAAAATAAAATCAATTCTCTCATTGGGATTGGGGGGTGGAGGTAGATTACAACTAGCCTGGAAATTGGTGATAGTTGCTGTTCTTCTTATGCTTAGGGTCATCATTTGAGGTAACAATGTATGTTAAAAGTCAGCTGTGTTCCAGTGGAGCTGCTTTAATCATTTCTAAGTATACAAATGGATTTTATCCTTTGATATCTCTTACTGTTGAGTTAAATTTTAAAATTATATTTTAGAGTGGCCCCCTTGCTTCCAAATATCCTGAAGCTACCAGTCAGAACTGTTACATACTTCAGTTCACGAAAAGGCAAGAGAAAGACTGTGAAAGCTGTCGTCTATAGGTTTCTTCGACTTCATTGTGGTCTTTGGGTAAGGAGAAAGGTGAGTCTTCACGCTTGATTGAAAAGGGAGTAGGAGCAGAGTAAACTGAAGCAGAATTAAGCCTATTTATTGACATGTCTTTCTCCTACCTTACCAATAGCTTTTATAGTGTTGTGCTATGCTTATGTTCTGGCTTGGCAGGCATCACTTCATGTAAGTGAATCCATGTGAAGAAAACATGTTTAAACATTCATTAAAAAAGGTATTCTTTACAGTGGTGAAAGTCATCATGTAGGACAGGTTCATCTCAGATCCCTTACACATCTGCCTTATCTAATGATTACTAGAAGCCCCATGAAACCCCCAGTGTGGAATAACCTGGGGGGAGGCCCTGTTTAATCCTGGAGCATTACACCAGAGGAGATGTCAGCAAGAACTTAGTCACATGGCTCAGGTTTGGGGACTGAAGATCTTTTCAGTCTACATTGCATTGGAGTCTCTGGGTGGCTTAATCTTTATGGAAGAACATTAACCCCACATACACTTTTTTTTTTAAACTTTGTAAGTTTTTCTCTCTGTTAGTATATCAGACGGAACTCTTAACACTTACCCTGGCCACAGACCACAGCTTCTCAGGGGGACTCGACAAATTATTACTGCTCTGTCCTCCCCCGTGGAATATTGTGAGCGTGACTATGAGCTTTTTAGTTCATGTCCTTATTCATGAAACTGAGTAACTGATAATTAGCAACAGAAGACCAGAGTTTTGTAAAACAACCTTTGAGTTTTGATAACTATTCAAATCCTAATTTCCCTTTTACTACTTGGAAGTTAACAAGTGATTCCTTAAAGATCAAAATTTGTTTCCTTGTAAAGATAAACACTTGGTAGCACTTTGTCACTATTTGATAGCTGGAAAGGATTACACCCTATCTCATAAACAGTCCTAAATTTATACATAAACAGGTTGATTGGAATTCTCAGCTAATTTCTCCACTGGAACAATAAGTACTGTGGTCATTTCCTACACTGGTCACTAGAAGCTCATATGATCCATAAGTAGGCGAACTAAGTAGTTGAGGTAATGGTTCTGAATTGGAATTTTGGACCATTGGAAACATTTACACTCCCTTTTATCATACTCATTATTTCCAGATCCTCATCTGACCCTAGATAAAATTAAATGGGTGGTTTTCTTTGCTTTCCTTCCCATGTCCCTTTTATTGAGCCCTGAAAACCTCATGTTGTCATAAGGGACCTGATCAAATTCTCCAATCATAATACCTAGTCCCATTCAGGGCCCCAAAAAGTATTCCATATGCATAATGGCCTGTTTCAGCAAGATCCAATTTTAAGAGGAAAACAAAGTATCTGGAAGGGTTAATTGACACTAATGTATAAAAACAAAGTATTTTCTATGGGACAGTTTTATCCAGTTGTCCTTAATTTTTATTGTTTATTCTCCCTTTCCATTTCTGAACCTAGAGATTGTCTAAAATGTTTCATATATTTCCACATTGTTGCATTCCACAGAATAATCTTCAAAGGATATAAGTAGTGATATCGAAGACAGCAAATTAGATGTACGTCAGTCAGGGTTCCACAGGGACCCATTTTGGCTTGTAAACTGGAAAATTATTATACCAATATGGGGATTTTGTTCTGAATCTTCAATTTTAAACTGTAGTCAATGAATCATAAAAATCTCTGTCATAAAACCAGAATTCTTAAGAAATCTCTTATTTCTGAGCATCGCTGTGCTATAGAACTTGCAGGTCACAGTGATGGCACTGGGGCATGTCACAAACCCGGGGCATCTGTTCAGCGAAGAGCTATGGTTTTGTTCAGTTGGTGTGGTGGCCTGAGGAGCACTTGGCTTAAAAGGGCCGAGGGGCTCTTACAAGTAGCATGGGTTCCAGTCTCACTTCCCCTGTAACTTACTGTGTGGTTTTAGTCAAACATTAACCTGGGTGAACCCTACGGTCTCTTCTAGTTTAAAGAGGCTATGATTATAGTTTTTATATTTGGTCTAATTTCCTGTTTCTTCAAAAATTAATTCTTTAACATTAAGAATGCATGGATGGTATATATGACAGTTCTGGGTTAACCATACGAGTTAACCATTCCTTCACCACTCCTAATGATCGTTTTACTGTATTTATTATTCCTTACAAAAGTACTTACTATAGAAATTGGTCCCTAGAGTGTAGAAAGAATAAATGAAGTAATATATTTGAGGACTGTGTTTCTTGATCCTTGTACAATGCCCCCTTAAAAGAACATAAATGTTATCAACCTAGCCGGTACTCCATCATCCTCCACATTGGAAAAATGAAGCAGTGTAGTGCCTAAGCACTCTTACTAGTCCTCTGACCTCAGTCTGCTACATGACTTTTCCAATCATTGGTGGTTTTCTCTTTAATATGTAAAATAAGAATAGTATGTTTTTGAAGATTGTTAAAGAGATAATAAGGTAAGGCATATAAAGTAAGCTCCTATATATCCATTACCCTGTGCTTCATCAGGCACAAAGATTTACTTAGCTTTATTTTCTGTGGTTTTAATTTTTTTCAAAATACTAAATTACTAATATTTCTTCTTTATACATGCTTTCTCTATCCAGCCCCATTGAGAATCACATCTTTCTGAAAACATACCAGCCCCTGTGAAAGTCTTCCCACTGGGCATATAAACCATGATTAGTAAAGCTATCTGTTGTTTTCTATATAATACAATGTTTTAAATGTTCTTGTAATGTTATCTTACAGGCTGGTTATAAGAAAAAATTATGGAAGAAGACAGCTGCAAGAAAAAGGCGCCTGAGGGAATTTGTGTTCTGCAATAAAACCCAGAGTAAACTCTTAGATAAAATGACGACATCTTTCTGGAAGAGGCGAAACTGGTATGCTGATGATCCTTATCAGAAGTATCATGATCGGACAAACCTGAAAGTATAGATCACAAGTTATGATTTTCCCAGTTATCTTGGTATATGTGTTGTCTTTGCAAAAATGAATAAGTATAGATGTAAGGAGATTTGATTTGGGATGGTAAACATACAATATACAGATGATGTATTGTAGAATTGTATACCAAATCTATATAATTTTATTAACCAATGTCATCCCAATAAATTCAATTAAAAAAATAGAACCTAAAAAAATGAGTAAGTTAAAACTTGATGTAAGTTATACCAACTGATATGGAAACATATGGTACCAACATTAAGCTTATCAGTTTTAAAATTTAATGGATTAGCCCTTGCTGGTGTGGCCCAGTGGATTGAGCACTGGCCTACAAACTAAAGGGTAGCCAGTTCGATTCCCAGTCAAGGCACGTGCCTGGATTGCAGTTCAGGCCCTCAACAGGGAGAACGTGAGAGGCAACCACACACTGGTGTTTCTCTCCCTCTCTTTTTCTCTCCCTTCTCCTCTAAAACTAAATAAACAAATAAATAAATAAATTTAATGGATTACACATTCCCAGATTTGTTCAGAGAAGTAGAAGTTTAAAATTACTGATTACTTTTAATAAAAGTAATGGCTTAACTAGTTCCAATTAGGCTTACTTAGTTACAAGGAATTCAAGTTAGGACAGACATAAAAAGACTCTAGTAAATTAGTAGAAGCACTGTGATTTCTTTTTTAAGGATACATGCCTGGGAACTCAGGGACCACCATACCACCTTCATCTTCCACCCAGAACGAACTTCCAGGCTTCAGAAACAGCACAAAAATTGTAGGATGGTCCTGGGTTTGAGGCACCTCTAAGAACCTCAGCAACAGGAAACAGTGGGTCTTTAGGCTTGGGTCTAGCCATACATGTGACTCAGTTCTTTTTAAATTGTAGGCTCCATTCTCTGTCTACTTACCAACTTGTCTAATTCAGTTTTTGCTTACTGTTAGTTTCTGCTTCCTCATAATAACTCTGGCTTCCTCTTTTGAGGTTCATTTCTACATCATGACCCTCAGCTCCCATCTCTAATTGCCAAGAGACTTTATTGGCCAGCTTATCTTTGAACACAAGGTCTCATCTCAGGTCACCAAACAGTGTAGGGATTGGCTGTTCTGGAGTCAAGAGCCCACTCGGGCTCACTTGGTTGTGTTGGCAGATTCATATGAAGCAAAAAATATTTATGTGGGCAGTTTCACTTAGAGGTGAGCACAAGGTGGCAACGCACGTCTTGTATACTAGGTTCACTGTGTTCCTAACGTTCTCAGTTTATAGGAACAGGATTTTTAGAGAGATGTAAGTGAAATAGCCTATCAGTATGCCCATTCATGAAACAGAAGTGGCTATATAAAGGTAACTTTTTACCCACGAGTTGAAAGATGCTGCATTTTAAAAAGTTAACCCACTTGAGATTTCATATTTTTGAGGATAAACTTTTTCCAAAATTTCCCAAAGATACACTGTAGATACTGAGGAGGAAGAAGTCATCTCAGTCACAGTAGAAGTGATGCAAGAGTTAAGCATTATTCATTTGAAGAGGGTCAGGTAAGAGGCACTAAGGAAGACAGAGTGGACTGAGTGGATAAAGTCGAGGGCCATGGTTCTCAGCTCTCCGATCAGAATCATCTGGAAAGCATTTCAAACGACAGCACTTTGCTGGTTGAAAAACCATTATTGAATAGAAGTATGCCTCAATTACTGCTTCACATCCTTTAATAGTTGATGATAAAATGAATGTCTTCTATTGTTGATAGATAAAGGCAGAGGATAACCAATATTATTTGAAATCAGTGTGTGTGTGTGTGTGTGTGTGTGTGTCCATTAAAAGAAAAAAGGTGACAACCGAGTATCCTAAAACTAGAAGGCTAAAGAACAGACATTTGATTTGAGATAAAAGCCTGAGGTGTGGAATGGCAATCTGTTTGGATGGGGTTCATTTCCTCAGACTAATGAGATGGCAGAAATCAACCACTGCCAAGGCTGCCGCATCATTTCCCCCCTGCCTGGCTCCTGCCTCTCACCTTTGGCAGTGGGATGGCACTGGTGTCTGAAGAAGTTGAGGAAGACGACATTGCCACCCCACCTCCGTGACTTCTCTCATGCAAATATGGATGGGGTCTCTGTCACTGTGGCCTCAGAGCACTTTGGTTTCTCCTCTAGGCCTGGGACAGGGGAGGTAGAGGTGAGGGCTGGCAGGCAGGCCTTGGCATCCAGAGATGGACTGAAATGGAATGGCTGGCAGGTACAAAATTTAGGGGAAAGGGGTAGCAGGGCTTATCATCAAACCGATTGTATAGTTTGACAACAAAACATCTTTCATTAAAGGGTCCACCTAAATGACATTCAAGTATATGTCAAAGTGTAACTTACTGAAAATCTGTGCCCCCTGGCATAGAGACAGGCATGTATCTATGAAGCTGCTAATCCTCATACCAGCCTTACAAGGAGATGCTCTTTAACCGTAGGTCAGATTTGAGGAAAGAGAAGCTTATAGAAGGTTAAATAAATAACCCAAAATACAGCTAATAAGTCCATCAGACTCTAGGTCTTACTCCCTGGAATCCTGTGTATTTTCCTGAGTCTTCTAACAACATGAAAATTCATATCTAAATCAACACCTGACTATAATCTATCATTATAAATACTAAATACTTCATGATACTGTACTAAGCTCTTAAATTTTATAACTCACCTCTTAACCTAGTTAATCTCAGTTCTGTTGACATTGGACTTGGCTCAGTAAATGAGTAAATAGGTTTTTAGCCTGTCCATCTCGCCATCGTCCTTTCAGTCTTCTGAGTCTGCTTCTGCTGCTTTATCCTCTGCTGCTTTATCGTACAGTGCTCATGTCAGCCGTACACAAGAGAAGACTAAAGGCCCAGAAAATGTGTTTCATTTTGATATATCACATTTGGAGTTTCCAAGTCTTCGTGACCACCCAGTCAGGTTTATGTGTGCCTGTCCGTGGTTTAAAGGCAAGGGCTGCGGTGGGGCCCAGGGCGTCCACACCACCCAGTGCACCCCCACACGCACCAGCCTCCTCTGACCTGCACACCTTCTCCCCGATGATCACACCTTGCAGATGAGGAAACAGGTTCTGAGAGAGAAAACAACAGACCAAAAGTCTGCTTGCAGAATTAAAACTGCCTTGCAGATGAACCAGTACCCTAATTTTTACAGCTACCCAGTTTACTGTTTATGTAATCAACTGGTTTTCAATGTACTGATGTCATTTAATTTTTTTCCTTGCAGCAATTCTACGCAGTAGGTATGGGGCCAGGTCACCAGGCACAAAGCCTATTAGTGGCTGAGCATTCAGCTCTTAAGCCTTGCTACCTTCCACATTTTAAAAAATAATTTTTTTTATTGATTTTTGAGAGCAAGGGGGCAGGGTGAAGACTGAGATGCATTGATTTGTCGTTCCACTTAGTTGTGTATTCACTGATTGCTTCTTGTATGTGCCCTGACCAGGGATGGAACCTGCAACCTTGGCATATGAGGACAACACTGTAACCAAATAGGCTACCTGGCCAGGGCTACCTTCCACATTTTTTTTTTTAAAGTATTTATCTTTCTTCGTAAGTCCAACATTACAAAGGCATTTTTAAAAGAAAATGTTAAGACTTTATTCAAGATATATATCAAGCATTATAACAAAACAGCAGAACTTCAACCTTTGGAATCATATGATTTTACACCCCTTGATGCACAGTCCAGTATGTTATTTTATTACAGATCGTTCTATAGGGTCTACAGAACTAAACTAGGAAATATGCACAGTTACGATCCAGCATGTCAGCTGTTTGAGAACGAAGCACATCCTTTACCATTTCAAATACTGTGCAAGGTGAAGAACTAGGAAGGTGCTCTGTGGTGGTCATGGTGGACAAGCACTGTTACCACAAACACATGGACAGTTTACTGCAGAGAACACATTTCAGAGGCCAGCGAAATGAACAAGCTATTCACACAAAGCCAGGAGGGGTTATGACTACTCTCCAGTGCACAACACCATATCTCACCTCAGAAACAGATCAGGTGTTCAATGACAACTGAAAGTCATTACATGAAAATGACAGACTTCGAGCTAACATGTATAAACAGCCTGTGTCTGTATGTCAGCAAATTAAAAACATTTAGTTATATCCTCTAGACAGAACACCACACCACTACATGTACACTTTGAGGCATTCACATTGTGTGTCAGTCCGTACACAAACATGACAGCATGTTGGATAAGTAAACAACGTTTTGCCAGAAATATGACAGCTGTTCTCAGTTGTACAGTGAGTGTTTTTAAGGGAGAAACCAACTCCCTAATCAACACTTGAAGGAAAAACAGTTACACTGACATTAAGTCAGCAGTTTGGATGCCCTCATTACTTTCTAAATCTTGAATGAGAAGTAACGCAGCATGTCGGGGAGCAGAGCGTTTCAAACCTGTTTTTGGCATAGTTGAGTGCAAACTCGATAGTCTGTACTTGTTAAAACGTTCCTTGTAAAATAGTGAATATCTAGCTTGTTCACAATAGAATTTTAATCTCTGTTGCTACAGGCATTTATTATTTTGGCAAAAAAAGTTGCTATAAAGCTGCTTAAGTTAAGCTTTTTATGCACTTGTTTTCTGATAATCCTGGGCATTCCCAACTAACGGATATATACAAAAGTGTGTGTTTTTTCCTCTGTCTGAAACTATTCAATTAGCTTAAAGAAAACAGATTTTTGTCTTCCCGAAACAGGTTTAGGTATTACTGGGTGTGAGAAGCAGACAGTGAACAGATAGCTTCTATTTGTCCTCTGAATCACAAATTTGCTTTTAGGTTTATTATCCTAAATCCTTTTGTAAATCACAAAGTCACCTTCAGAGTAGTTATGGGAAGAAAGGATTAAAATATGCATATCTGGTAACAATCAACTTCAAGTAGAACCCTTTCTGAGGTGGCCAAGATCCAGCCAATGTGCCATCTGCAAAGGCCACTGATGTACAATCGCATAGCTCAGAAATGAATGGAACAGTCTTTAACTGGGCCTGTTTACAGCTGGTTGACAGTAAGGTCTGTGTGGTACATGACACTAATTCTCTAATCTTCAGGGCATATCTATGAACAAACACAATCCAAGTTTTATAAATAACTGGGCTGTAACCACTGCATGCATTACATTGAAAGAAAACACCCAACTCTAAGCACAAATATACAGTCCTACATTTAGGCTCAGCGCTCCAAGGAAAGAGCAGCTACCTCGGTCCAAAATGCTATTTAGTCTAGATTTCTCTTTTCTAACAAATTCACAATCTAGGCAGACAGTGCTTTATTCTCCTACTAAGTGATCTGGGCTTATATGAAATGCCCATTAAGACCTGGAGTGTTCACAAGCATGCGACTTCCCTCCTGTTCACATTCTGCATGAGCCAGAAAGGGAACAGAAGGGTGTGAGCCACAGCTGCCCCTACAGCTGAGCAGCAAGTCATACCCATAAAGATCTCAAACTCTAAACCCAGCATGTTGATGTTACAGAGGTGTCTCAGATGAATTTTACAGCATATCTGAAACAAAGTATAGTTCTATAGGTTTTGTACTTGGTTTGGTTGGTTGGCTGGTTTTTGCTTAGTGTTCTCTAGAGAAAGGTGCTCAGACTGTAAGCTCCTCTGCCTGGGGAAATTAGTCACACAGCACAGGTTACTATGAAGAAGAAAGTGTCATCCATCAAGAACTTTTGAAACATTTAAATGATTCCTTATAACAGCTCTGTGAGTCCACATCCCCAAGAAGTTTTACTGAGGGTTCGCCACCTGCCCAAGGCAAGTGGCGAACCCCCGAGAGGATTCAGAAGTTCCTCAACCTGAACCCAGGGAGAAGACAGGCTTCCTGTGGCTCTTCTCTTACTCTAGACTGTGTCCCTCACCTCATTACACCAATCTCTGTCACTAAAATATTTTCTCTCTTCATTCTGAACCTCTCTGATATACTGACTAAACAACTATCTGAAGAATATGGACCACTGTCCTGCAGGGAAAGGAACATTGTACTGGAGTTATATTTGGAAGCTTCCTAAGCACAACCTAAGACATTCTCTAGAGTCAAAAACATTTTTTACACTTCTGTTTTTGCAGTTTTGTTACATTATCAGATCCTCTGGCAGCCCTTGCAAGTCCATTATATGAAGCCAAAAGCCATAAATATGTACACTGTAGTCCAAAGTATTAGTACCAAGAACAAAAAAAAAAGTTTTAAAAAATTGCTTTGTTTGCATTTACAGGACTAAAAATGAAGTATGCAACAAATTACAAATGTACATCTCAGCAGTGAGGGAGTGATTCTCATATTCTAAAAACACACTGCTATCTAATGACAATCCAATTGTGGAAATTTACTAATCTCAAAGGACTGAAGGATCACACCCGCCCCCCCAAAACAAACACTACCTTCCCTTTAGCCTCTCCCCAGCAAAATAAAGAAAAGGAAAAAACAATATCCTAAAAGTGGAAGAGCAGGGAGAGAGAAAAGGCCATGACCGTGAGGCTGCACACTCTAAGCACACCAGCTTGCAGATGTCTATGTTTTTAGTGAATAATAGCTCTTTAAGGCAGAGAAGAAACATTCTGTGTATCCGGTGCTGTTGGCTCATCTCACGTGGTTTCAGTGGCTGAGGATGAGGTACTTTTCTTCCTGAAGCGAGATCGAAGGGTTCTAGGCGGTGCCTGGCAGAGAAAACAAAAAGGCATCCCTCAATTTGGCATAAACGTGGATTGTTTGGAGGACAGCGCCTGGATGGGTTTGGGTTGATACATAGTTCTTTTGGTCAAATCCTGGGGCTAGGGGCTCACTCTGAATTTCTCCAACAGAATCAGAGTCACTTTCCAAGCATCTCAGGGAAGCCAGGGCTGATTGTGAAGGCCAGTGCCTCCCTGTTCACACTCTGCTAAGTCCCTGGACCTCCCAAGTGAATGGTTGTGCAGAAGGATGGCACATCTTTCTTATTTCTGCCTTGGGAGCAAAATGATCTTATCAGGTGACTCAGCAGAACGAAATGCCTCCCCATCTCATCCGTTGCCTTTGTTATTTCCTTGGGGAACCAGCCTCGCGTTTCTTGGCACAGGCTTAAAATTTCCATCACCAAATTTCCAGTCCTCTTTCTGGCTGTGATATCCTTTAATTCACAGCAAACAGCACAACAAAGCAAAATGTCGTTCTTAAGTACAGTTTTTCTCCTGGCCTAGCACTCAAGGGGGTTCACACAAGGGCCCCCACCAACTTTCAACCGCTGTCTCTGTCGGCTTCTCTGCACTTCTTTATCTACATATACTGTCCTTTCATACATCTATTCTTTCTGGAAGCCCTTTCTCCCTTTTCTGTCTTGCTATTTCTAGTCCTCTGTATGATCCAGCTCAAAAGTTATTCCTTGTCCCCTCCACCCACGGCCCCTCCACCCCGGTCACACAGAACCAGGATTGTCCCTTCCTTTGTTCTCATAGTGGCTTGCACGTTAGAGGAGGAAGGAAGACTCCATACCCTCAGCAGATGTGCTTGTTCACTGTTTCCCCTGCCCACTTGACCTTCCTGAGGGCAGGTCCCCATTCACCACCACTTCCTAGTGCTGTTCAGTGCCCAGCAGCACAGGTGGGGGCTAGGGAGCCACGACACCTTTACATCAGAGTAATAAAATCAGTGAACCCATGTTTCAGTAATCTGCCTCAGGCTGTGCAGCTTTAAAACACAAAACCCAAAGGGCACAGACCCTCAGGCCCTAGAAGGATTCTGACACCTTCCCCACTAGCCCTCTCCGTGTTGGGGCTGCCGGCGGTACCGGACTCCTTGAGCAGTGTCAAAACCTACAGCATCTTTTACAGAAACCTCCAAGTTCAAAATTGACCCATGAGGGCCCCACCCTGGAAAGGGGCCCGAGGGACCCCCGCACGCTGAGGGGCTGGTGACTCCAGTCCTAGTGGGAGTCGCGACATCAGGCCCTTGGGTGTGTATAGGGGAACCTTTCAACGCATTTCCTCATCTGGGTCTCATGGGGTCTCTACTCTGGGGACAGAGGACTCCCAGCTTGCCTCCGGGGGGTCCTCAGGCCTCCGTGCTGAGCAGACAGGGAACAGGAGAGGCGACGTGAAGGGGCGGAGCAAGACGCTGGGGCCCCTAACCCTGCCAGCCCGGCACCTGAGCCCATCTCTGGTAACTCCCCACCGCACCACAGCGCGCGGCCCTCCTACTGCAAAACTCCATTTGCATCTACAACTGGCAACAGTACTGGGATCGACTGTATTGTTTTTGGTTATTTTAAGTGGCTGTGTCCTTTTATTAACATTTTTATGAATATCTACCTTGTATTATGCACTCTGCTGTGTCTTGGCGATACAGTGACAAGCTAATATATTTCTAAAACCTTGTTAAATAACACGCTTTGAGTTTTTCTCCTCCCCCACCCCAAACACTCACTGTGTTGCTTTTCACTCACATAAGATTAGTAGTCAATTAAAAAAAAAATTTTTTTTTAGACATTATATCCCATCTCCTATTTCTAAATTACATTACTAGGGTCTTCATTCCCCTTAGCAAGTAACTGGATGCTACCTAGTGGCCTGTCCTACCTGTGTGATGGAGGGAAAGCTTCCCACCCCCGGCACGCGGGCAATGCTGGGTGCCCCAAGAGACGCGGCTCCTAGAACACCCAGATCTCCAGGGCGAAGCCCTTGTACAAACACACACTCCAACCCACAGCCCCAGACACCGTGTACCTCCAGGGGGAACTCCGTCTTTCGAGGTGCCTTATACTTGTACATGAAATCCAGCAGGTCTTCCTCCTCATCATCAGAAAAGGCCAATGGGTTTTGGACCTTGTGGGGCTCCCATGCCTTCACACCACCCTCATTCACATCTCCCTCAACCACTTAATGTCCATTTACAATCTACACAGAGGAGACAAAGTACAGTGAGGAGGGGTCAATGTAGAAAGGAGCAGGTGAGGGCAGGCAAGGGCAAGGTTAGGCACACAGCACGAAAAGTCAAGTCTGTTAAGACAACCGAGGCCCCTCTGTCTGAAAAAGCAGCCAGTATCCTCTGGGGACCCTGCCAGGGGATCCCGGAGTGTGAGGGTACAGCAGCGAGGCTGACCACACACTGTGCACAGGAACAAGCACAGGCTTCAGAATCTGCTGATACGCTACAACCGGGACGGGGGGCACCGCTTCCCTGGGAGAAGAAACATGCTGCTTAACTGAGGCGGGTCCAACCCTGCAGCTTAGAGCTCTGACACCACCCCAGAAGATCTGGGGAGGAGGGGGATCTCCTCTACAAAGAGTGACAGTCATTTCAAGAGGAAAAATGCACAGTTTTCTTTATTATACATACAAGCAATGTTGACAGTGCATTACACTTGCATATTCAGCTCCTAGCATTCTTTAAGAGACTCTATGTAAAATGCCAAGCCTCACAGAGAACCTTAGAAAAGCTATGTAGATTTTTCGTTTCAAAGGCCAAGTGTTATAAAAGAAAAGGAGCCTAGTAGGAGGAGAATCTAGTAGTAGCTTTCTTTGAAAATGACAGCAAGATTCCTGTTGTAGTCTGCCTTGACCAATCCCCAGGCAAACTTCCAGAATTAATTCATGTCACTGAAGGCACAGTATTTAAGTGTTCAATGTTGAGTATATTCCATGTCAGCTGGCCAGATGGTCCTATCTTAGTTGAGGTAACATATTTCCTGCCCATATCCAGCCTATCTGACATCCACAGACACATCTTTCTGTACTTTATATAATGTTTTTATCTAGAATCAGAATGCAAAGCCAGGGGGCTCTCGGATCATCTGATCCAATTGCCCCGAGGCCTGCAGATAGAAATCAGAGCTCTTACTCGGACACCCTACCACTGTTTCTAAAAACATAGTCAGCCACCAAATGTGTTCTCTGTATCAAAAGGAGATTCACTAGATTATAAAAGCACCAGGTGTACGTTAAGTAAAACAACTGAATCTTAATCTTGAGCAGTTTCCCCAGTTATTGCTGTCTCCCCAACAACCAGCAGGTGGCAGCACAAGAGCACAGTTGTCTTAACCACAAATTTCAATCTGAATTGTAGGCTCAGAGTGAACTGCTCAGACACCAGCACCTTAGAAAGGGCCAAGCCTGAGATCGTTAACCTTCCCTTAATACTTTTTGTGCGCTCTCCTAGACTGTTTTCTCCCAAACTCTGGGTCTGGGTTATCCCTTGGTCCCTTTGCCTGCCCAAATTAGCTGCACCCTTCAGAGCGTTGAACACGAAGCCTGGCAACTCCAGAGAGCCCTCCCTGAATGCTCTGGCCCTCCCCGGCCTCCCCACTCCCTCACCCTCGTGGTGCTTGGAATCCGAACCGCAGGGCCTGTGCTGAGTGCCCCGTCCTCATGCCAGTCTCTGCCTCAGCCCCACAGAAAGCATCCTCAGCTTGGGAACCGTGGCAGGTCCTCCCTTAGTCCCTCCGTGCACTGACCCCGGGCTGAGCACAGAGTGCCCACCCAGCCACTAAACCAGGGGGAACACCGACATCATCTCAGGGAGCTCAGCTCTTCTCCCAAATCAGGACCCTATATCCACCCACAAGGAGTGTCCTTCTGGGCACAGACATCTCCTGCCTGAGGGAGGGAAAAAGGACAAAAGGCCTCAGCCAGAGCAGGCACTGCAGCAGCAGCCTGACCAGCCCCGTCCCAGCCCGAAGCCCTGCATCCTGGCAGCAGGCCTGGGCACTGGTTTGCGTCCGTGCCTCTGCACGTGCAGTTGCCTCTTAATCCAGGCCCAGGGCTTCCCTGGTACTGCTCACTCGGAGGGCAGTCCAGAGTAAAGACTAGATCCTCCGGCACATGGCAAATCGGCCTGCTCACCAGGCTGGAACCACTGAGGCTGAGCAATGAACTCCCCCTTTACCACGATGGTAACAACAGCAACAACAACAACTACCACCAGCACCACTGTCTCAGGACTGAAACCAAAATGGCTGTGAGTGTGTTCTCCACTGCCCACTTGAGCACAGATTACAGGGTAGAAAGAAGTAACCCTCTGGCCCACTAGGAGTGACAGGTCAAGGAGAACCAAGATATCCAGGCAGGAATAGAAAACAAGTGCTCAACTCAACAGAGGGCGGGAGCCAAGGAGGCCAGTGTGGGCAGCGTGGGGGCCAGAGGTGGCCTCAAATGGAAGCAACAGAGATCCTACCAAAAAGAGAAGAACCCTGCTGATCGCTGTCCACTGAGCGTTTCTGCCAAGAATGTTGTTTGCAATATCCTGCTTTACTCTCAGGACCCGAGAGAATAAACACTCCGGACAAGCTGAGCCTCGGGGCCTCTGGTTGGCAACCGTGTTGTGACACTGAATCTTGTCACTGTTTTTCCCTCTTTGCACGGGCTGCCAGGACACCAGCCTCCTGCAGAGTTGCTATCACAGAGCCCAAGGCTGGGGGCCTCTAGGGAAGGACAGGGCTCCCTCTTGTTGTCCACAGCAGGGGCGTGAGCGTGTGGCCTGGGCTGACATTCTGTGTCGGCAAACATGTCAGCAGGACTACAGCAGGCTGGGAAGCAGCTCCACCTCTTCTCTCACGGGGTGGCGGGGGCGGGGGGGTGGTGGACACTGGCAGAGACTCCCAGCCCTTTCAGATCCATCAGCACAGAGCCCGGGGCACCCCCGCCCTGGCAGGCAGCAGAACAAGCCCAAGGTTAGCAAACACATCCCACACAGCACACGTGAGTGGGAGCATTAAAGGAAGTCAGCAAACGTGTGGAGACGAACATGCCGGTCTGGAACTTACATCCATGTCCAACAGCCACCGAGGAGAAAGAAAAGAATATTCTGTTAGGGCAGGATCTCTGGAGATGAAACACACACCTATGGGAACACGCATGCACGCTCACACATACATGCACACACACACTCCCCTCCCCAGCTAGGAACCTTGGACAGCTCCTCCTGCCGGCAGAGGAAACACTGTCCAGGCCACGCTCAGGGAAATGCCACCTTCCCCCACTCCCCAACTGAGAGGGTAAATAGGGACGACCCTGCTTTTTAAAATGCTATTCCACATACTTGATTTTTAAAAAGAAAAAGAAAAAAAAATCCATCTCTATGACTCACTCCAAGCAGCATTACAGTTTTCAGTTCTATATTACATCAAGGTAAGTAGAGAGAAAAGATGGGAGGAAAGGAAGGCAGGGACAGGAGAGAGACCAGAAACAGAGAGAGAGAGAGAGAGAGGCAGGGAACAATAGGGACTCCTCTGAGAGAGGGGCGGGAATGGAGCAGAAGTGGGGAGAAAGTGTTCTCCTGTAATCTGAGATGCAGATGAAAATCAGTTCTGGTGACTAGGAGGGCCCTCGGACCAACATATCTGTGACCCCTGAAATCCTCTCTCAAGACATCCCCACCTGAGAGTTGGCCTCCAGCTCCAGTTGCAAAACAAGCCTCCCCACCATCTGCTGACACTTCATGCCCAGCACCCTTCACTGCAGAGCTGGCCAGAGCTGTGAGAGCCCAGGGACATGCAGCCCAGCCCCTCTGTGTTCGAGAGGAGAGGCTGAGGCCTGGGCGTGGAGGGGCTTCCCTGTGGTCACAGAGGGAGTGGGGAGAAGAGTCATCAGCTGGTTCCTTGCGAGCACACTTCAGGGGGCGAGTAGAACTCTGGGGCGTTGGGTATTGAGAGGGGCCGAAAAAGGAAGGGCGGGGCAGAGGCTCCCAGGTCACACCCTGAGCAGGGCCACGCCCACCTGGGGGGTCCTCTGAGCCCCACCTGCTGCTACGTGCCGTGTCCCCAAAGCTCCCTCGGACAGTAACTCTACTAAGTTCCTACAATCAACTGCCACTGTATTTGGGTGCCCTGGAAATGCAGCCCCTGATTATGAAAGCAGCCAGGGCTTCCCAGAGAGCAGCACAGAGCAGTCCCCAAGAGGAAAAACAGAACAGAAGGCAGCTTTACTCTCCCTGGTCCCCTAAGTCACGATGTGTCAGAATTAGAGGCTTTCTGAATGGCTCACAGAATTTACACTCAAAATTTTATCGTTGCATCATTGTTTTCTGGGAACTACTACCTCCACCAGGCCCAAGATTAGCCCGAGTGCTGGAAGCTGCTGGGTGCAGACCATCCCTCCCTCCCATCCTTCCTGTGAGAGATAATCAGCAGATAACATCATATTAGTTTTCAGTGCACAACATATATTATATCCCTCCTGCATCTGATGTGGACCAGGAGGCCCCCAGGGGACACATGGCCAGTCGGAATCATAACCAGGGGAGCAGGATGGTCTCCCTCCACTGTCCCCAGCTCACAAATCCTGTCGGTTCACAATGGGCTTATGGCCTTCGAACCCCCAAGTCTTCTACAGGCCTTAAAAGTTCTTGGCATTGAGAAACCTTAAAAATGAAGACACAGAGAAAACATGACTCTTCTTATGACACAGCTTCAGGTCCTCCTGCCCGCCATGATGTGGGCGGGACGGCCCCTGCCTCAGCTGCGTCGGTGGGGGCTGGGGGGGGTGCCCAGGCGGTAAGGGCCCTGTGCGTGCCTCCCCGCCCTCACCCCAGCGGGCAGCTGCGGGCCAGGTGGCGCCATGGGGGTGGAAGCAGGGAGCTGGGCTGGCCCAGCACTAGAGCGAGTCCCTCGAGTGTCTAGTTAAGGTGAAGGAAACCGCAGGAGCAGGTCAAGAGAGGGCAGCACGGCCAACCGCGGGTGGCCACGGCCCACCAAGCCCACGCTCACACCCAGGAGGGCAGCGGCCGGCACCCCCATGCAGGACCAGGAGAGCGCAGGCCGCCCCCTCTCCCTGAGGTTCCCCAGCTGCTCTGGGTTACAGCCACGCCATCCTCCTTCCAGGCGCCCTTTCACAGCCGTTTTCCCAACAGCACAGTTAAGGCGGGAAGCGGGGATCTTGATCTCTATTTCAAGGTGAGGAAACTGAGGCTCTGAGTGGTTAGGCGGTTCACACATGGGGACTCAGGTAGTAAGTGGCAAAGCAGGACCAGGGCTCCCTTGGGGGCAGCAGGACCAACACCCCTGGGGGCTGCAGGGCTTCGCACGTCAGAGGCCCTGGGCGAGCTCCTGCGCCCTCGCCCCAGAGCACAAGGACCCAGGACCCTGTGGTGGTGGTAAAAACCCCTGCACATTCTTTGACACTTCTCCCTTCAAGAAGTAAAGATTAATTCCCCTCCCCTTGAGTGTGGGCTGAACTCAGTGACTCATCTCCAGCAAAGAGAACGAGGCAGAAGTGGTGGTGTGCAAGTCCAAAGACTAGGCCCGAACGGGTTCCACGACTTCTGCATTCATGTTCATTCTCTCCCCTCCTCTCTCTCTCTCCAGTCACTCTGGGTAAAGGCAGCTGCCATGTTTAAGGACACTCAAGCAGCCCTAGAAAGGCCCATGTGGTAAGGAACTGAGGCCTCCAGCCAGTAGCCACGAAAGAGCCATCTTGGGAGCAGATCCTCTAGCCTCCGCCTAGCCTTCAGATGGCTGCAGCCCTGGCCGACACCTCAACTACCCTGTGCCAGTGCCACCCAGTTAAGCTGCCCCCAAAGTTCTCACCTGCAGACACTATAAGATAATACATTTGCTATTTTAAGAGGTTAACCTCCTGCTGCTGGAAGGGAGCCCCAAGGTCAGGTGCCAGCCCATGGTTAGAACCTCCTCCAGAGGCGAGAGTCCAGCGCGCTGCAGAGGCTGGCTGCTTACTCACCTTTCCTGGTCCTGCAGGTAGAGCAGCAGGTACACACTGTGGGGATGGGGGGGCACCATCAGTGATAGCCCCCTCTTGACAGGAACCAGCCCCAGGCAAACAGGGAGGCCCAGGAGGAATGTGGGGATCTCAGTGTGTTCAATATAGGGGTCCCCTGGATGTGGGTCTCTATAGAGACACTAAGGTAGGGGAGGGGATCATTCCAGATTCAGCTTCCTCTTGGATGCTAGCAAATGCCCTTGCTGGCCACAAAGGTTAGTTCTTGTACCCTGCAGCCCTGGGGAGGGCGGGGGTTGGGGTCAAAATTTCCTCTGGGAAATAGCTCCACCCATCCCTGCCCACGTGCCCTTCCTTCCTTCACCTTCCAGTGCAGAAGGACCTCTCATGAACCCACAGACTGACCGCTGACCCCCAAAGCTCTTAGTGCCCTAGCCACTTGGTTGAAGGCCTAACATGCTGCTTTGCACACCCCGTTGGTTTGGATGTACATCCAGGCCTTGGGTGGGTGCTTGCTAAAGACATGCTAGGTGTCTCCAAGTTCATGGAAGGCAAGGATCATTCTTTCAGCTCCCTTTGTACCCCTTCATGGGGTCCAGCATCTTTCAACAGATGATGTCTGACAAAATATTTTGCAGTTTATTCTGTAAGAAGGGCAATGTGTTCTTGCAAACTTCATATTGCTATTTTGACAATGGGTTTATATTTTTATTTTACATAACTTGTTACATAGTATTCCATTCAGTTTTGTACTTTTTTCATTAGGCATCATGTTTTCAAGATCTACACTGGAACTACTGCATCCAGTGGCTGCATGCAATTGCGTGGGGTGCAGCCACCACCTCTTACCTGTCTTCCCCCAGGTTACCTTTAACGCCTGCTACCTGTCCAGGGTTTGCAAATTGTTTGCTCTCCTTACAACCCTAAGATGTGGGCTGAGCAGGGATTATTTTGCTCTTTTTCAGAGGAGAAAGCGTAAGGGGATTCAGCTCATCTTCTGTGCCAAGGCCAAATCATCTGGCTTCCTCAGTGACTTCCTGAGAAAGGTTCTGAGGCTCCACCTAGGCCCAGTGGGAACAAGAATGGCGACTGCTGAGCGACACGTGCCTCTCAGGGTTGCGTGTGCTGTCTCTGCATGGGTCCAGTGCCACCCAGACAGGATGGAGGATGGAAGCCCAGACTTGGGGCCCCTTCTCCTACCCAACCATACCTGGTGTCCAGGGCCCACATGCCTGGTGTCCAGGGTGGCGGGAAGGAATGCCAGCCCTGTGTGGCTGGGCCTACTTCCAGGGAATCCTCCCAGACACCCCACCCCTCAACTCAGGGATTATGAGAGCCCCAGATCTGGGTGCTTGTGCCCTATGCTCAGGCCTTGGACCGTCTTTCACCCTGTTTTTCTTTCTGAGATCATTTTTATTTTAGGTCCCAGAACAGCTCGGCCAGCACCTCCATTCCCTGGCCCTGAGACCACCGGCGCTGAGGCCCAGGGCAGGCAGTGAGGAGAGCAGAGTTATGCTGCAGCGTGGGGGTTCTCTGGTTCTCGACCGAGCGCCACCAGCCTGGCCCGCAACCTGAGCGGCCCCGCCGCCTCCTTGGGGCGTGTCAGAGGGCACCACTGCTGATGGGGTGGCAGGGCCAACGCCACACAAACCGTCCCAGACTCTCTTCTGCCTGGTGCTGGCCTGGGGACATGTTCAAAGCCCAAGAGGAAGCTCCCATGCCCTTTTAGCTCCCACCAGACTCCTCACCCTGCCAGTTCTAAGGCCGCCCTGAATAATCCACCAAGGTGAGGTCCTCTGTGGCCCTGGCACAGTGCAAGGCCTCTCTGAGCCCTCTTCCTCCACTTGGTTCACCTCTATGACAGCACAGAATCTAAGAGGGAAAGGCACTGTGGGGCCCCCTAGGCCCACTTCTTAGCCAAACCAGGAATCCCTTCCTAGAGTCTTGGTACCAGACCATTCAACTTTGGTTTGAGCCCTTCCAGTGACAGGGATCTCACTACCTCGCAAGGCAGCCCATTTCTCTTCTGCACACTCTCACATATAAATTGCTCTCGTAGGTGAATTAAACAACAGCTCAACACGAACAATAGGAGATACGAGAGTGCCAGAAATGAGCCTAAGCACTATTACATAGATTATTTCATTTGAATCTTCATAGCAACCCCACAAATGGGAATCGTCATTCCTCATGGACAGAGAAGGAAGCTGGGGTGCAAGACAGGAAATTCCTTGCCCAGGTCACACAGCCAATAAGCAGTTCCCCTTTGGAACTTTACCCCGCCGGCTCTGCTCTGCCTTCTGAGTCTCAGGGAACTGAAGCTCTTTTTCCTTCCAAATGACAGCTTGCACTGGAGGCTCAGTAGCTGATGAGCCACTCGGGGGTGGAGGCGGTACCTAACCCCATTTCACCTATTTCTGGGATTGTACCCAGCAGGTCAGCAGCTCAGATGCTCAAGGAAACCTGGATGGTCCACGGGTGAGTGGACACAGGGCCCAGGATCAGGAGGCTACAGAAGCCCCCCACCAGCCGTGACCGCGGTGGCAGTTCCCCTCCCCAGGCCTTTGTCTCTAAGTCGGTAAAATGAGAGGATTGGACTAAATGATTCCTGAGGTCCCTTTCTGCCTGGCCTCTGGGGAGTCCATTCTAAGCTGTCCTGGGAGGGGTTCCCCAGGAGATAACCTCCCGCCATGGCCAAGCCCTCACCTCCCCAGCCCTGGCCAGAGTTAAAACTTCTTCTTTCCAACAGAAAAGCCACCGTTTTCAAACCCGGGGCCGGTGAGAGGGGTTGGCCCTGACCTGGCTGTGCGCTGTCCCGCCTCCCTGGAGGGGCCATGAGCAGCATTCCCGGTGGCCATCGGGCTCCTTCTTTCCCAGCCACATCTAAGATGCCCAAACGTCTGCAGGGTCCCTGGGCTCTGGCTAAGGTGCTACCTGCAGGCTGCTCCCCAGTCAGGGTCCAGGTGGCCTGGGGGTCCCTGTTTGTACACTTAAGGGCAGGGCAACCAGCAGGCACACATTATAGGCACATATTCCAGAAGAGTTACCCAATTCCCACACTGAGGCTCAATTTCCCACCAAGGGTGAGGGTAGAGGTGGCAATCAAGAACTGTCTCCTGCACCCCCTTTACCGTCAGCACTCTGCTGGTGGTGGCGGTGCTCAGCCCGAGAGCCAAGGTCCCTGTATCTCCCCAAGGAATGGTCTGCGACACAGTGAGTCCCAGCCCAGCTCCCTGCCCCCAACCCACGCCCGTAGCCTCCACAAGCCTGAAACCCACTGATGGGCTGGATGTGGGCGGGCCCCAAGCACGGATGCACACAGCCGGGTCTCGGCCAGACCTAATGAATCTCCGCAGATGGACCCAGGACTCTGCAAGGCCCGCAGATCAATACCAGTACCGGCGACCTCTGGACAGGAGTTTGACCACCAGAGGCAGACCTCAGAGACAGAGGCGCGGTTTCCGAAAGCCCACAGAGGAATTCAACCTCGGAGCCAGCGCCCCCCTGGCATGTGGTGGCTGAACTGCACGTGGCAAATGGGGGATCAGAGGGGGGAGGACAGGGTAGAGTGAGAGAGGTACAGGAAACAACCGTGCAGGGAAAAGGGACCACGAGAGCCAGGGGCCGCTCAGGTGCTCAGGCAGGGAAGGCCCTCCTGGCGGGGGGGGGGGGGGGGGGGCGGGGGCAGAGAGGACGAGGACAGAGAGAGCTGCCTGGCCCAGTCCAGCTGTGCCTGTTGTCTCTGACTTGGGTCCAGGCACTATGACCCAACCACCCCAGACAATCAGACGAAGGAGAGGGGACCCTTTGGTGCAGGTGACCTAAAGTTGCCCCCCGGTTGGAGTCCACAGGCCAGCTTCCTGTCCTGGCCTGAGTGGTGCTCTGCCCCTTGGCTGGCCTGGCGTGGTGACTGTCTGTGTTGGTCAAGTCTGTGGGGCAAGGACCAGGTTACAGGCACACACTGGACTGGGCCCCCTCCGTGAAAGTGAGACCTACCAGGTAAAACGGGGAAGAAGTGAAATGTCACCTACCTGAGCTGCCAGCGCTTTCAGAAGCACTCCGGGACATCTTAGGCTGGCCGTGCTTACCGCTGGCCCGCCCAGACCCCGGTGGTGGGGGGCCTGAGGGCACAGGGGCACCGTCTCCCCTGATGGTGGTGAGGTCCTGCATGCTGAAGCTCCGGAGTCTCTCTGATAAGGCACCCTGTCCCTGCATACAACAGAGGAGGGGGCACACATCAGTGACCCTACCCACAGACCATGGGCAGTAGTGGGGGCAGGCAAACAAAGGTCAACAGGAAGCTCTGACAGTCAGCAAGGTGGAAATCAAGACCTGGAAGGATCCTGCAGGGGGTCAGGTGCCCAGGGCACTTGCTGGAAACACTGAGGGTCAAGATCTGGAATATTCCAGGGCCTCCTGTGGGGCTCAGCAATTGTTCCTCTGGCTCCCAGCTCCTTCCTCCCCTTCAGATGCCTCTAGATGATGAGCTCAAGCCTCAGGCAGACCCAGGGCCAAGGACATGACCGTGGCCTGCAGTTCTGCCCTGCAGGGGTTGTCTGCTGCTTCTCTGGCTTTACATAAATAAAAAACCTTATATAGCTGCATTTTTCTCAGATCCCAGCACACAGGAATCGGTCAGAAAATCAAAACCTAATAATGTACATGCTCAGTCCTTCCTCTTTTCAAAGGATATGAAATAAAGACAGTATTTCTAAATCCATGACAACAGCGATTTCTTTTATCTGCTCACGTCACTATGGAGCACATTCGCTCCCACTGCTGCACTTGAGCTTCATAAAATACCCGCCGGGAATGAGTCAGGGAGGAAAATATGATGTTAAGAAAAAACCCTGCTGGCTGTAACCATTTCATACTCTGAAGGGGCCACAGAATTCCTCTCAGGGGGAAGCTGTTCTTTTGTTTAGGAAGCAAGACTGGCCCAATACAGTTCTGAAAGGGAAGGTCCTCGCTGTCTGGATGCGAGAGATCTATCTGATCTATCTGCGTCACAGTGAAAGGACCGCCCTGAGGGCGCAGGGGCAGAGCTGCAGTGAGCCTCGGGGCTGCGAGGGGGGCTGCTGGGGGCCGGCTGGTAGGAAACTGGGGTTGTTGAGAACTGGATTGGGGTTTGAACGCAAGGTACTAGGCAGGTAACCCCCAGGCAGATCAGTGAACACTGGGTATCCTTAGAAATACTGGCGGGCGTCAGACTTCCCACTGGTACGTGGGAGGGTGCGGAATGAAGGCATGGGGGCATTTTATTTGCATATGAGGAAAGAGTGGTTCCAGGGGGCTGGGGGGGCCTGAACGATAAGGCACAGCAAACAAAACAGAAACAAATCAGCACAAAATCACTGAGAACAGCTAACAAGAGCGCCCTGGGCTGGGGCTGTGGGGGGCTGATGAAACGCACGAGCTTTGTAAGAGGCTTTTAGAGATGGCAGAAGGGTCTGGGGAACGTCTTCATTTTCCTTATTTTAAAAAATAGTAATGAAAACGGGCCACGACGCCGCAGCAGTTCGCTGCAGTGGCCCTCGTGAGAGAGCCAGGGAGACGGGGCGCACCCACAGCGCGAGCTCCTGGGGGAGCGGAAACGGCAGGGGCTTGCAGGCAAGTTCAGCAGAAATGTCTGAATAAAAGAGATGCGCTAAAATATGAAAAAATAAGTTCTCCACCTGCCAACGATATAAAAACTGCCTCCGAGAAACCAGTAACAACCAAAAGAAAACTATTTAAGTAAGCAAATGAATACAATTAGAATTACAAACCCAGGCAAAGGGATTTGGGAGGACGCGATGTGAAAAAAGACAGAGGTCGCCCTCATTGCCACAGACGCTGCCCTGGAACCACGGTGGGCGAGGGGCCTGAGGCTTCACCTTCGGGACACTAACGGCTGGGCGGCCTTTGCCAAGAGCACGAGGGCAGGACCAGCGTAATCCCCTCCAAGTCTCTCAGCCACAGATCCGTGGTTTTGTACCCAGACACATTCTAGATACCTAGAGTTTAGGAGAAATTAGATGACCAAAGCACAAAAACTGATTCTGAAAAAAAGAGAGAAAATATCTGATAATTATAAGGGAGTAATTCAATGTTAGGCTAACATTCAGGAAAACCACTCATGATTCGCTTGTTTATTCATCCTCCCGTTTATCCATTTTTCTGATCAACAATTTTTTATCAAGAACTTTCCTATCAAGGGCAAGACACTGTGCTAGGTATTATTAGGAAATACTAAAAACAGCTTGATTTCTGACAAAATGTAGAAAGACAAATGTACAAATAACACAAAAGTGCCATGCCAGAGGCTACAGTGCAGATTAAGAACAACAGTTCTAGTCACACCTGGATTCAAATTTCAGTCTGATCACCAACAGCGGGGTGACTTTAACCTCTCTCCACCTCATCCCTCTCCTCTGCAGAAAAGCTTCCACGTGGCAGGACGGTGGTGAGGAGTAAAAGAGATTATGCCCGTAAAAGATATGCATGATAAAGCCCAATGCACAGCACATGTGCAAAAAAATGTCAGCTGCAATGATAACTGTTGTTGCTGCCGAAGACACATTAACTTGCTATTGAAATAAAAAGAAAAAAAAAAAGAGAGACTACATCTGGCCAAAAGAACCAGGAAGGTTTTCATGGTCTCAAGCCTGAATAAATGATCAGGAACTAATGCCATCCGGGTGTCTGCCAGCTCTTGCAAATGCCCAGCAGGATGTCTGAGAGCCAGTGGGAGCAGGCGGCACACGCGCCCATTTCAGCAGAGCCCTCCTTCCGCTCCCAGAAGCCAGCCCGCCCAGCTCCAGTATCACGGGCATCACAGAGGCTGGAAGCAGCAGAGGTTAGGAAAGAGAAGGAGGAGATAATGGCTTGGTATCAACCTAGTCCTGTCTCAGAGGAATTCACAGTGGCAGGGATACAAGGCTCTTGCAAACAAATTAGCTGTACGCATTCAAGGAATCTCAGGTGGTCAAAATCAATGTTTCTCTCACTTGTAAACTTCTCAGGCCTCCTCTGTCTCTCCTCAAAACCCCATTTCTATCCACTCCCCACAAATGCCACCCCACTCCCACAGTGCCACTTCAGCTCTGCTCTAGAAAACATCCATTTTGGTTTTTATCTTGTTGATTTTAGAGAAAGAGCAGAAGTCGGGGAAGAGAGGGGCAGGGAAGAAAAAGAGAGAGACATCGATTTGTTGTTCCACATATTTACGCATTCATTGGCTGATTCTTGTATGTGCCCTGACCAGGGATCGAACCTGCAGCCTTGGCGTACTGGACAATGCTCTAACCAACTGAGCTACCTAGAGAAGGTGAGAACCTTCATTTTTTGTTGTTGTTGTTTTTACCCTGGAAACAAGCAAAATTAGATTTCCTATTTTAATAAATTTTCTAAGTTTGGAAAAAGCTTAATACCATATTCCCCATAATTCAATGAGCCACATTACCATACCAGAAGCTTTGAGAGATCCTATAGTATTTTGTGTTAACTCAGTGCACCCCAAATGTATTTGACTATAGTGGGAGAGACTGTTAGTTGACCATCCAAAAGTCGTTCCCGGCACCATTCTTGAAATGATGAGAAAAAACAGACTTCCCAACTCCCCTGTAGCTACGGCCATGTAATGCAGTCCTGGCCAATGGGAGGCGAGGGAGACCTGATGGCTGGGGAAGGTATTTTCCTGACATGCAAGGGAAAGGCCTGGCCCTGCTGCCTGCTTCCGCCTTCGAGTGCGGCAGAACCGCCGTCTTGTGACTAGGAGACTCTCCGAGACTTGCACCCAGAGCCTAGGCATCACTAAGTCAAGGGATCATGATGGCACTCACTCCCAGACTCTTGTAAATGATTTCCAGGAATTCTAAGACAGCTTCTCATCTCTGAAATTGGGGCAGGTCTTGCCATTGCTGTTGCCCTGACATCTGTCAGGCCTACCTATAAAAGCTCTTGGTTCTCACTCGCCATGGCGTGACTGAACTGAAACCCGAGTGTTCAATTAACAAACCAATTAAGAACCACTTAAAGAAGGAATGAGTCCAGGTTGTCTAAAACACATTTCATGACACTGCCTGGTAAGATCAGGAAAGGGGCAGCATCTGAACTAGCAGAATGGGTATGGGAAGCACTGAAATCCCAGGGTCAACAGCTCTGAACACCAGCGCTCTGGGAGGCACAGAGAGCGATGCAGCGCGGCTGTAAATTGGTTCCCATGAGCTGAGCTGGAAAGTGATTCAGGAGAGTAAGACTCAGAAAACGTAGTGAGGTTAGGGAAGACCTCAGCCAATTTCTTGTGTTTGTATGTTCCTTTCAGTGTGTATACAAAAGTGGCACACAGAAAAATCTATATCTAAACAAGGCTGAGCCATTTTAATAAGAAGTAAAAATTCTGAGTGAAAAAGCATTATGTCCTAATTTAATTGGTACTATTTGCTTCCTTAGCAGTACATACGAGAATGATGTGTCTTAGAAACCACAGCACTTTAGAGTCAACGCAGCATGGCCGCACTTCCCAGAGAAGCTTCCTCTAACCACCTCAGCTCCCAGCCGCATGCTCTCAGCGCAGTCTGTACTTATTTGTTGTACTCCAGACAACCCTACTTAACTTTGGCATTGTTGGTTTGCCTTCCCCTCCAGATTGTTTATTTACTGTTGCAGCCTTGGCATCTGCCACTCTGCCCAATGCACATTAGGGGTCAAGGAGCTGAATGAATGAACATACAGCCATTTATTGAGCAAACCCCCGAGTAAAGAACAACCGCAGGAAATCCCCACCCCGACCCCAATGCATCAGCCAGCGTCCCAGAACTGGAGGAGCATCCTACTAACCGGGAGTTGGGCTTTGTCTACGAGGAATGTATGACAGACGCCAGAGGTCTGGAGGCACAGGACAGGGCACACATGAGAGGCACGGCATCTGGAGAAGACTGAATTTGACCTGACCCTGGAGGACTTTGGATGGTGGGGGCAAGGAGGGAAAATGGGGACTAGGTGGAAAGAGGAGTGTATCTCTTAGGAGCTGTCACCACTCAGCGCTGCCACTTCATTCCACCCCAGATGAGGTCTTTGAAGTTGTCTCCCAAGGAGATGGGGATCCAAACTGTACTGTGTTAATGGCCAAGTGAAGGGATTAGTGCAAGGCCTGCTGAAAGGTAGGGTTTCTTCAGAAACAAACAGGTCAGTGGAGGGCAGGAATGGGACGGAGATTGACTCTGTGCTGAACGCCCTCTTTTGTACTTTTAGAATGTTGTACCAGGCACATGTATTAGCTATTAAGAAGTTATTACAATTTCATTTTTAACAGCAGCCACAGCACTCTCCCAAGATCACCTTGAGGACCTCGTTTTGTAAACATAGAGCTTGCATGATGCTGAGAAATGCCATCTTAAAAAAGAAAAAAAGACATGAAACTATTGGAACTATTCGAACTATTTAAAAATAAAACAGAACAGAGAAAAACAACTGAGAAAGAAGATGTGGCATCGCCAGAACTGCACTGTATTTGCCCACAAACCGACTGCCCAGCCTCAACCCTGCTTCTGGGGCCTCATCAAAGTCAACCGGGTCTTTCTCAGCCTTGCGATTTCACTGGGAAATTAAAGAGCAGAACAAGAGTTGCTTCCAACTGTAAAATTCTGAGTTCAAGAATGAAAGACCCTCGTCTATGACTATCTGGCTCTGATTTCAATTCTAAAGTGAGAGTTTCTAGAGTGCTTTGAAAATCCCTAGAATACAGGCTGGGCCTCTCGAGGTAACTCTGAAAAAGGGTGAAAAAGTCACGGCATGTGTGTGTTATTTTTTTATTTATTTTTATTTTTTAAATATATATTTTATTGATTAGGCTATTACAGTTGTCCCTATTTTTACCTTTTATTCCCCTCCACCCTGCACCCCCACTCCCACATGAATACCACCCCTCTTAGTTCATATCCATGGACCGTACATGTAAGTTCTTTGGCTTTTCCATTTCCTATACTATTCTTAACCTCCCCCTATTTTGTACCTACAAATTATGCTTCTCATTCCCTGCACCTTTTCCTCCACTCTCCCCTCTCCCCCTTCCCTCTCATCTCCTTTTCTGTGATTGTTCCTGTTCTAGTTGTTTGCTTAGTTTCTATTTTTGTTTTCTCTAGGTTCAGTTGTTGATAATTGTGAGTTTGTTGTCATTTTACTGTTCATAGTTTTTGATTTTTTTTTTTTAGATAAGTCCCTTTAACATTTCATATAATAAGGGCTTGATGATGATGAACTCATTTAACTTGACCTTATCTGGGAAGCACTTTATCTGCCCTTCCATTCTAAATGATAGTTTTGCTGGATAAGAGTAATCTTGGATGTAGGTTCTTGCCTTTCATGACTTAGAATACTTCTTTCCAGCCCCTTCTTGCTGGAAAAGAAACTGTAAAGTTTCTTTTGAGAAATCAACGGACACCTTTTTGGGAACTCCTTTGTAGGTCACTGTCTCTTTTTCTCTTGTTGCTTTTAAGATTCTCTCCTTATCTTTAATGTTGTGTAATGTGCCTTGGTGTGCGCTTCCTTGGGTCCAACTTCTTTGGGGTTCTGGGCTTCCTGGACTTCCTGGAAGTCTATTTCCTTCGCCAGATTGGGGAAGTTTTCCTTTATTATTTTTTCAAGTAAGTTTTCAATTTCTTGTTCTTCCTCTTCTCCTTCTGGCACCCCTATGATTCGGATGTTGAAATATTTAAAGTTGTCCCACAGGTTCCTAAGCCTTTCCTCATTTTTTTGAATTGAATTCTTGTTTCTTCATTCTGTTCTGGTTGAATGTTTATTTCCTCCTTCTGCTCCAAATTGTTGATTTGAGCCCCAGTTTCCTTCCCTTTACTGTTGGTTCTCTGAATATTTTTCTTTATTTCACTTTGCATAGTCTTCACTTTGTCCTCTGTTTTGCAACCATACTCAACCACTTCTGTGAGCATCTTGATTACCAGTGTTTTGATCTGTGCATCTGATAGGTTGCCTATCTCTTCATCATTTAGTTGTTTTTATGGAGTTTTGATCAGTTCTTTCATTTGGGCCATATGTCTTTGTCTCAGTACACCTGTTACGTTGAAAAGGGTGGAGGCTTAGGTATTCACTATGGTGGGGCAACCCAGGTCGCTGCATTGTGCCATTATGTTGGGGAGGGGTCCAAGAGGGAACAGTGCTGTTTGCTCAGCTCTCTGCTGGCTCTGTCACTTCCCCCGCTACTCACAAGCAACTTAGGCCCTTTTAGTGCTGATTCCCAGGTGGGTGGGTTTGTGTATGTTCTAGGACCCTGTTGGTCTCTCCAACAGACTCTCCTGTGAGGCTGGGAGTTTCTCCTGCTGCCACAACCCCCAAAGGTTTTTACAGACAGAGGTTTTGAGGCTTTCTTTTCCCACACTAGAACCCTGGGTTGCACAATCTGTTTCGCTCCCCCAGCTGTTCCTCCCAGTTTATCGCACACAAATGTGGAACCGCCTGGTCAGGCAGCCACTGCCTTGCCGCGCATCCTCTCCGCCCCAGCTGCCTGTCTCCACCCCTCCTACCTGTCTGGATGAATATTTCTTCTTTAATTCCTTGCTGTTGAACTTCCATACAGTTCTATTTTCTGGCAATTCTTGGTTTTTTGTTTTTAAATTTGTTGTTGTCCTTCTTTTGGTTGTGTGAGGAGGCAAAGTGTATCTATCTATGCCTCCCTCTTGGCAAGAAGCCAGCATGTGTGTTTTAAATGTCTTGTATCAATTTCCTCCCAAATCAACAATGAATTGAGAATATGAGCCACAGGAAAAGCTAATAAATTTGGGACCATTTCAGGAACTAAGGTCAGCCTACCTCGGGACCACCCAAGCACCTGCCCCTGGAGCTGTCACAGCACAAGCCAGCACTGTTCTCAGCATCCCCTCCCTGGAAGAACCCCTTCACAGCCTAGCATCATGGGACCGGAACGGCAGACATCCTCAGCCTCCCAGAAAACCAGTCTCCTATCTGTATTTTTGGACGCTTGAGTTCCTTGCTCTCCACAGTGTTGCAAGCATCTTGTACCTAGTTTTGGTGCGACTGCTTGTTTGCATGCTGCTTGCTGCTTTCTGGGCACAACACCCCAACGTGGTCCAGTGGTTGTCTCCGCTGTGCTCCACAGAACTGCACAAATTTCACAGAACTATCTTGGGAGCAATGGCAATGACATTCCTGATTATTCTAATCTTTTTCCCTAGGTAAAACTCTTAGAAAATCGGACTTCAAAAGGCAAACTGTGTCACTAAATTTTCTATAAATCTGGGCCAGCACACAACAAACTCTATATGTTTTGGTGTCTTCTTGGTCAGGGGAGGAAAGTGTGCTCAGGAAAACCCAGACCTTTATAACCTGGTGGTCCAAGGAAAATAGTTCACCACTAACAGAATGCCTGCCTGACAGCCCACCGAGCCCTGATTCAACGCAGCGGTCAGCTTGGTTGTAAGCCCTCGATGAGGCCCTCTTTTCCAGAGGGACACATCCCGCCGCAGGGGAAGGCTGCCTCAGGGCACACGTTTCAGCCCATCTCACCTCCCACGTATCTAATTCCTGCAACTGAGGACATTAGGATAAAGATAAAAGGGTTTAGTGCGGCAGGCAATTGACAGCAAAGCCACCAGCACGGCCACATTTCCCACTAGTAATTCACAAACAGTTAGTACTTCCTTCCGAGTCCCCACGGTGCGGCCGCCTCACTGACGGAGTTCCCGCCGCAGCCCCACATGCCCCTCAGCGGTGCCGGGCAGGCCCCTCACGACATGCTGCATGAAGACAGGGCCTTGTTTGTGACACAGCATCGGATTCACAAACAAGAGAGAAAGAGACAGGATCGCTCTCCACCATAGCATCAATCATCCAACTGAATTCATTTTCCAGGCATCAAACAAAGAAAGGGAAAAAACCAAGTAAGTTAGGTGCTGTCAAATTAATATTAGGAGGCTCTGGAAGGACGGTGCAGTGAGAGCCAGCTCCGAAGTGAATGCACACGCACACACACAGGTGTCGGCAGGGGCGGCACCTGGCTCTGATCCGGACCATGCGCTGGAGGGCTGTGGGGGCTGCCGGCCTCTCTACCCCACCGGATCAGTTTGGAGTTAGTCACACCTCTCAGTGGGGTTACCTGCCCTTCGCTGAAGTCCCAAGAGAAGACAAAATGAAAGAGTCGAGCCACCTGATAAAGGGGAAAAGAAAAAAATGCCATGTGCACCAAGCCTACAAAGCGGGGTTGAAGGGAGCCATGCTGCCCTGGCCTCCTATGCTCACTCACATAAGCCTGCCTGCCTGCCTGCCTGCCTGCCTGCCTGCCTTCCGTTCACTTCCATTTCCTTTTCCTTTCCTTTCTCCCTCCCTCCTTCTTTCCTTCCTTCCCTCCCTCCCTCCCTCATCCATTCCCAACGAACACTGATGTTTACAAAGCTGTGTGAAAAGTGTTGCAGAGGAACAAAGATGAACATGAAACATGATATGGTTCCTACTCCCAAGGAGCTCCTAGTCTAGCTGGGGCATCAAGACAAATACACACAAGGCGGCAAATGACAAAGATGACACGGTGTGTGACAGAAATCCAGGGCAGGGAGAGACAGCACTGCCAGCTGAAACCCCACCCTGGTGTGGGGGAGGCCTCGCACAAGAGCTCCGACTCAAGCAGGGCAAGGACGGCATCATTGGAAAGGAAGGGGGAGAACGCTGTGCCTGGTGAGAGGCTGGAGCCACACGTGAGAGCGGGAAACCTGAGGCGCGTTTGGGAAACTGGGACCGCGCGGGTCTGGGAGAGAAGCAAGAGATAAGCCTGGAAAACGCGTACCTGGGGGGCCTCCACGTGAACTGTGATGAGAGCTCCACTGAAGGTTTTGAGTAGTGAGCAATGTGAAGGAAGCAGGGTTTTAGAATAATGAGAATATCCCGCACATACTGTGCAGCACACACTGAGCCGGCCCGACACCTGCCTGCTCTCCCCTCCTTCCTCAGGCTGCAGCTGGGCACACGCATGCCTGGAAAAGAGACTGTATTTCCTAGCTTCCCTTTTGAGAAGAGCCCTTAATGGGAGACGAAATGCAGAAACAAACATTAACCATCGAGGGAAGGCTGGTTTGGTGCTTCTGGTCTGCAACAGGCTGGACCTGTGGTGCCAGGAGAAGGCTGCTGAGCTGAGCAGCAGGGGCTGGGGGCTGAGAGACGGCCGTGTGGAATAATGACGAGGCACAGATGAGTCAAGTCCCTGTAATCCGGATCAGGGCCTGGTCACCTGAGTCGGGCCGGTGCCCAGGTGAAAGTATTTCGGGGTCAGGAAGGACCTCCACACAGTGGCTGTCGATGCCCTTGCACATTCAAGTCCACTACTGGGATGAACTGTCTCATCCGGAAGCTTCACCTGCTCCATGCTTCCGAGGGGAAGGCCCCGAGGGGAGGTTAATGTGCTAGCAGATCTCTCTTCCTTGCAGGGTAGGGAGATGCCAAAAGCCTGAGAGGAAAGAAGGACTAAGGGGGCATCCACAAGACAAATCTGTCCAGCTGTTAATGAAAAGTGGAACTATGCTTATACTTACATTACCAATGTGCCCACATTATCGTAACTGATAAAGAAACTCTATCTCATGGTAACATGTACATGTGATCCAAATTCCTTTACCTGGCAAGTACCACCTCCTGCATGTAAGTGCTGCCCCAGCCTTGCCTCAAGGGAAAGAGGGAGCTTGTCTCAGTGGCATTTGCTGTATGGCTTTGCATATTAATGCACCTTCTTAACTCCTAGAGGCATTTGATATAAAATGGTCAGAAGGGTAGGCAGCCAACCTTAAAAGTATCCAGGGCTGTGGCTAACTCTAAAATTCCCATGGCAGACCGTCATTTCTCAGGCACTCACCCACGGGTCCTTGGGGCCGGGGGGTGTAATCCAAGTAGGAAATGGTTAGAAACCGTCAGTCCAGGGTGTGCGCAGGGGAGCGGGGGCCGGGGGTGATGCAAGGGATGCTGGACTGGGAACTATGATGTCTCGCTCTGCCCTTACCCCCTGTATGACCTTGGAAACACCTGGGCCTCAGTGTCCTCCCCTGTGAGGCAAGTGGTTACAGTGAAGGCATGTGAGGTCCCTTCCTGCGCTAGCAACCCCTGGTTGGATGGTCAGACATTCCTCTCTCCCGGGGCGGGGAGCGGGGGAACAGGGCGGGGGAAGGAGGGTGGCAGGTGCTCACATGCTGTAAGCTCCCCCACAGGGACCTGCTTGCCTCCAGGCTGAAGAGAAGAAAGGAGCAACTGTTTGGAAAGTGGGGTCCAGAGCCGAGAGGGACACAAGCCCAGGGCAGGAGAGTGGCTTGCCCAGGGAGACACGGCACAGGCAGGGTGGAGCGGGACAAGAGACGAGGGCCTATATCCACACGAGTGGGAAACTCAGCCTCCTCTCCAGAAGAGTCTGAACTCTAAGTACCCGCCCAATGGCAGCGCCTGAGTTGTTTCTTTCATCCTGTCCCACAGTGAAGAGAAGACCCTGGTCAGCCTCAGAGATCAAACGAAGATGAACAGAAGTGAATAAGAGATAACCCTTATTAATCTTGTAGCATGAGCCCTACATTCTGTGAACTCTCTATGTACATCGTCTCATGACTATTTTGTAGAAGGCACCATTACCGTGCTCGTTTTGCAGGTGAAGAAGCTGAGGCTCACACAGATGCATCAGTAAGTGGGGGAGCTGGGAATTTTAACCCCGGTCTATTTATCTCCAAAGCCACTTGATGCTAAGAAACACTATGGGCTAGGACAGCTAAAAATACGTATAACAGTCCTTCATTCCTTTAACATTTACTGACACCTACTGGGGATGATAAGACATGGATATAAATGACCTCAAGAGTACAAGAGACTTGTTTCACCTGGAATCCGGGGAGGTTTTGTAGAGGCAGCAGCATTTGACCTTGAAGGGTGAACAGAATTTCAAACAGGCAGAAGCTGAGGCAAGTGAAGGACCAAGATGAGCAGGAAAGAGAAAATTCTAGAAATAGTGCACAGCAGTACTGTGAGTGCAATACAAGGAGAACCAAAAGGTAAGCAGAGACAACAGAGGAAGCTGGGATCAGAGTCTGACTGCACAGGCCTCAAAGAGAAGGGAGAGGAGCCGCCGACCACTTGGGGAGCTACGGCAACAGTCCAAGCTAGAAAGCGGGCGGGGGGCGGGGGGGATATGAAGAGAAGAGGCCTGGAAGGAGGGAACGGATGTCAAACGGGCTGGAGAGTAAGTGGGAGGAAAGAGAAGCATCAGGTGACAGCTGAAGGCGAGGGAAAGGAGATGGCCTGAGGAGGAAGAGGAGAGCGAGGAGAGAAATCCCACCCAACTCAGGGCGCGAGGGGAGGAAGAGGGCAAGCAGGACAGCAGAGTGAGGAAGGAGAAGGTGACCAAGAAGTTGCCGCATCATCACAACTGAGAAACAGCTCTTCCCCAGCACATGTGACTCTAAAAATGCCTTCTTAGACCCCCTAGGCTCAACCGGGCTCTTCTCTGAGGTCAAGCAGGCTGGCTTCTCTGTCCACTGGAACCCTTGATGTATATGGCTGCGTGTAATCTGCACAGGTAAGCATCGAAGAGAGGGGACAAGTCAGGCCAGCAGCTCTGAATTCCAGCGCTCCCTCTTCAGCTACTTGTGATGCTGGGACTGAAGTCTTCACCCACCTACCCATCTTCTAAGTGGAGTGAGGTGAGCAAACATTCCAAGCAGCAACATTTAGGGACAAGGGATGCAGAATGATGGGGTACTGAACGACAAAGGTGAGTGTGGCAGAACCACAATGGTCTAAAGCCTTGCTTGGTTCTGCCCCAACGTGGGTTGGAAAGCTAAGCTGGGTGTAAGCTCATTTGTGTGGGAGACTAGAGGGTAGGGAATACTTCCTAATTTTTTCAGCAGGCTGTTCATAACAGTTTAGATAATCTTGGTGTGTAAAACCAGTTGCTGCACTGAATTCCATATATTAATTTTATGCCACGCAGTCTTCAGCTAAAACAGAAGAAGGTTAACTTGTAAGCTAGCACAGGGGCTGGAAAATGTTCCCCAGAGGCATGAAGAGACAAGCATGAGGCTTCCTGTGGTCCTTGGTCACTTGGATTCAGCAGACAGGATGGTGGGAAGCCACAGAAGTGAGACACGGGGATGGGGGGGAGGGGCAGCAGTCTTCTCTTCTTTCCTGAAAATACCGTCTAAGCACAAGGGAGGTTTTATAAAAATAAAATCAATACCTGCTCTCCGATTAACTATAAATAGGTAGTTTTTTGCTAGAAAGAAAACAAAGACAAGGGCAAATGATTCCAGTCTGGACAAAAGCCTCAAATCACTATGCTTGTGAACATCCCAGAACAAGCTTCTGGTTCCAAAAATAAAGTTTTGTGGTTGTTTGATGGTGGTATTTTATTCAAGCAAGAGGTTTAGATAAAACAGTGATAGATAAGGATAAGAGGGAGAGGACTTTTTTATTCATAACTATTTATGCTGAATTGTTTTTGAAGAGTTTGTTTTAAAGCAAAATTAAGTGGGAATTTAAAAAAATGAATAAGAAGCGCTGACCTGTGTGGCTTAGTGGGTTGGGCACTGTCCCACAAAGCAAAAGGTTGTCGGTTCGATGCCCAGTCAGGGCATATGCCTGAGCTGCAGGCTGATTGATGTACCTTCTACATATCGATGTTTCTCTCCCTCTTTCTCTCGCTTTAAAAATAAGTAAATAAAATCTTTAAAAAAATTTTTTTAATAAGTGTGCAAACACTGTAATTGATCTCCCTGTGGACCTAGCTGTTCAGATTCTAGGGCTACAACCAAGACTTGGCTCTCCCCTAGTGGCTGCAGACCATAAGTGCAGGCAAAGTGCCCGAATTTTGCTGGCCAGGTCAGAAAAGTGAGGTCCTGGTGTGAAAGAAAGCAGGACCAGACCAGGGGACAGGATGAAGAAATGAAAGCTACACCACAGGCGGTGCTGAAGGGAAGTTCCCATGTCCCTAGTTTCCTAGTGAACCTCACATACAGAGGCCCCAGAGCACTGAGTGGATAAGCGAGCATCCTTGTCCAGGCAGAGAGAGCTCTGCAGGTGAAGGGGTGAAAGCCAAGAAGAGGCTTAAGAGGGGGCTTGGCTGGAGCACTGCTGCCCAAGAGCAGCTTCTCTGAAGATGGAAAGGTCTGTTCCCAGGCCAGCTACCAGTACACGGAGAAACTGAATTTTAGAGTGACTTAATTTTAATTAATTTAAATGTAAATAGCCAGAGGTGGCAAGTAGTTACCATACTGAACAGAGCAGGACTGGAGAAATCACAAAGGTTTACTCTTCAGATAAATCAACAAGGTGTAACAAGTAGCTATGTGTGTAAGACACTTAACAAATCGGCACTGTTTGGGTTTTTTTTTCTTTTCTAAGCAAGAAAATAGGAGAAGAATCCAGAGCCCCTCATCTTCAGAAGCTGACACGCCAATGGGAAATATCAGATCCTGGGAGGGGGGCACCCATGCACACTCTGGGGAAGAAGAATCCCTAGTTCACAGGACGCCTGCTTTCCTCAGAGCCGCTGTCTGAAACAGGAGACTTGACTAACAGGCTCGGTACCACTGCAACTGCTCTGGAGACAGGGTCCCCAAGGGCAGGAATGCAGCATTATTTTTTAAGTTATGAGACATGTGAAAAGCAAGGTTGGTTTAACCCGGTCTGAGACTCAGGCAGGTGGAAGAAATCTGGTATATGGTTCAAGTTTCAAGGGAAATAAGGGGGCCTGGAAATCTCACGGTTTTTAAACTTCTGATCCATTGCTTTCACTGTGGTTTTTTGTGTGAAAATGTGTTTTGCTTAATAAATGAATTTCCAGAGCATTATTTTTTAAAAGAGGGAGAGATTTCCAATTCTAGTCTTAACAAGACCTGGGGCTCCATTTTCCCTCTGGGTGTAATTACCGGCCAGGAAACAGCCAACTTCTAGGCAAGCAGGCAGTCAAAAGACTAGGACCACTGAGGAGGTGCAGAGAAGAATGTCCCCAGAGAGGACACAGCACTTCCCACTGAAAGAAAAGGTACATCAACACTGCCCGGGGACAGGGGTCAGACTGTGGGGAAAGCGTGGGGTGGGACGGGGGTTAACAGCCTGAGGAGAAACTTCCTACGGGTAATTCTTTTTATTTTAGCTTTTCCAGTTCTAAGATAATATTTACATCAATAACAACTTATATTTGTACAATGATATGGTTTAAAAAGTTTCTTCACACTTCATGATGATGCAAAAAAACCAAACAAACCCTGCAACCATTCTTCTTTTTCTTCTTTTTTTTGGGGGGGGGGGCTTCAGGGCTCAAAGTTACAAGAAAAAAATTAACTTGTGAAGTATTGCCAAAAGACCTTTATTTTTTCCTGTTGAGCTCCACAGGTTCCTCCTAGAGAGCCATCAATGGATAGAAAAGAGAGCAGAAGATAAGGGAGGAGTAACCCCTCTCCTCCAGTCACCTGATCCCTGCCTCCTTTTATTCTGTTCCAACTGAGACAGAGTCTTTTAGTTACCTCACACTCTCTTGCATCCATTTGGCTAAATATAGTAGGTCTTTCAAGTGAGGACTGATTTGTGGGTTGAGGGTATTTTCTGAAAAGAGACAAGCAGGGTCCAAGAGCCATGAGTAGGGTGGCTATCAACCCCAGTTTGCTTGGGACAGGCCTACCCATATCTGTTGTCCCAGCATAATTATAATAGTACCCCTTTCACTCTCAGATGTGCCCTGGTTTGGACATTAACTTATATGGTCACCCTAGCCATGGGTGACTTGGAAGGGTGTCCTTTTTTTTACAAAATTGCTTTGACTGTTCTCCTGGAGTAATCAACAAGGTGGTTCAGGCTCAGCTTTCTCATTCTCAAGGTTAATGCTTCTAAGGAGCTAAGTGTGCATCCCAGGGATGTTACAGAAGTTAACTGTGTGGACCCACCTGTGCACTTATGGTTCTGAATGGAAGCCTCAAGCAGGGACCCATCTAGAGCTAGCTATTTAAAAATCACCTGTAGAACTTGTTAAAAAGAGATTGATGAGCCAACTGCCTGAGATTCTGATTCAGTACATCTGAGAACCTACTGAAAAATGAAAAGCAGAGCATCTCAGCCGGTATGGACACGAAAGCTAGATTTGGACCCACTGGTGACTCATCATCCTTTGACCCCTGCCTGGAGCGGTCCATTGCTGCTGTGGAAACCACTGATTTACCCTGCAGCCAATCTGGAGTTTACTCCTTCTTCTTCTTTTTTAGTACACATCTGTGTCAAAAATAAAGGGCATTATTTTTGGAAGAGGAGATTTGTTTCTTCTCTCAAGGTATTTATATTTAGAGAGGAAAAGCAAAGTCCTCCAAAGGCAGAAAACTTTCTCATCTCAAACCAATTCAGCAGGAAGCAGGCATCCCTCACTACTTTAGTGCTTCTAGAAAGAACTACTGAGATGTTATTTCCTGAGGCAAGTTTCAGACTGTCTGCAACTTCCTGCAGGGTGAGTAACCTGCAGGTGCCTGGCTGGAGGGCGCCTGGGCTCCTGGGCTTCCCCAGGTGGTCAGAGGGCCTGGTGGCAACTGGCCAAGGTGGCAGCAAGACACTGGAGGCTCCGGCTTGAGGCAGAGCTGGAAACGGATGGCCCTACAAGACTACCACCAGAATGAAATCTATACACACGTGGCTGAGTGGACAGATGGCCCGTATTGAGCCACCCTGATATATGACACTTATGCTCTATGACTGGGCTGAGTAAAGAGCAGTAACCCATCTTCCATCAGGCTTCAGAAGCGGAGGGGATGGGGTGGGAAGGAGGGCTGAGGGAAGGTGTCTGTAGCTTTATGTTGTAAAGTTGGCCTGACGAGTTCAGAAGTTACCATTCTGAGTTCTCTTTGCTTTCAGCTTAAAAATAAAAGCATAAATTGGGTTCATCTCATACAGAAGGATCTTGGAGTCCACTGCTCTTTGTAAATCCTGATTACATCTGTTTGGGACACCAAAACAGAATGTCCCCTCCAAAGATAGTCACTGGGACCCATCGCCTTGCTAGCAGCTCCTGTCTGGCAAGGCCCCCCCAGGTACCAGCTGCGTGAAGCTCTGTGTTACAGGAGCTGGCCCTTCTCTGAAATAGGAATCATCCCCTCTTGGTTTTCCTTCCCTCTCTTCCAGCCCATGTTTGCAGAACCCCTTGACTTCCGGCAGAAAGTGCTTTTCAAACAGACCCTCAGCCCTGGGCGCTGAGTCCTTCTGCTAGAATTGGTGCCAGTGTGCTTCGTCCTGGTTCAGGGCGCAGAAAATCCAGCTGTGCCCCGATCCAGCTGTCTGTCAGCGCCCTCCATCGCACCATCCTCCCAAAGCCCATGAGCACCAAGATGTGCGGTAATCGCCCTCTTCCAAACCCCTTCACAGCTCTTGACCTCTTTTTGCCTGTGAACCCTCACATCACCACCCAGGGCTTACAGATTCCCTTTGCTAATACAACTCACCTCCCAGCTACTGCATCTCCCAAGCATTAGGGTAACTGCCTCTCCTCCACCCCTCGCTGCCTGAGGAGCCCTACTCCACACGCAGATCTGGGCAAGGAGCAGTCACCAGGAAAACTAGGGCCATCTGCTAAGTTTATTCTGAGAGTAAACATCTCCCAATTTAATTTTTCAGGGCTGAGCACATAATGAGAAACTGTCACAATGATAAGGAGAATGTGATGTGAGAAGAAACTAAGACGGAACACAGAGGACGTGTGAATGGGGCTGGATGGAAAAAGAGAAGTAAAGCTAACATCACAACAGCCCCCCAGAGCAGTGTTTATTTCAAACCTCCTTCACCTGCATTTGCTGCTGCTATACGTGGCATTGCCCTCCATGTCTGAGCCACTCAACCTACTCTGGGAGTCTGGGTCCTTCCCTGGATCTGCTGGGCCACACACCCTGAGAAGCTGCAGAGAGGCTCTCCCTCCCACCCCTCCTCTCTTCTATTTCTCCTAGGCCTAATCTCCAAGGAATTTAGAGGATGTTAACCTAGGACCCACCGCTGAGCTTCAGGGGCTCTGGGAACCTCTTAATATTGCAGACATTGTGTGTGTGCTCACACATATGCCTGTGCAAGTGTCTGGGGGCAAGATTCACCATTTTTCCATCAGATTTTCAAAGGGTCTCCAAAAGGACGAGGAACCACTGACTGGTCCTTAGCTTGCCCTGTGAGCGCTAAGGGGATGAGCAGGGCAGGCTGGAGGGACCGAGACGCTCACACAGCCGTGGTGGTCAGGGCCCAGCACAGTACCTTAGAGGCGGCCATGACCGCCGCTGTGGCCGCCACGTTCAAGCCTCGCTTTCCAAAGTGCACAAGGGCATCGTAACTTCGGTCTTTTGCTTGGACCAGGCAATCATCAATTTCCTGTCAAAGGAAAAAGAGACACACTGAGGTGGAAGGCTCAGGTAGATCTCTGTTCTTTCCTCCTCCGTTCTCCAGAGGGCTGGGCTTGGCACCCTGCGCAGTCACTGATTCTCGCTGGGACTGACGTCACAGGCACCTTGGGTGCATGTGTGCAGACTGGCGGGGAGGGGGAAGACAGAGGAGGGACAGGGGAATGGAAAAGGGAATTTTGTAAAAACAACAACGCTCTGACCCAGGAAGGTTTTCTTCAGGCACTACCTCAGGATTGTTCCCATAGCCGTCTAACATTCCAGGGAGGCTCCAGGGGTCCTGAATGTGGACAATCCTTCCATTCTACACACAGCCACACTCTCTAAGACTCTGAAGGACTCTGGGGTGCAGGGAACACCACGAGTAAAGTATCTAACCTCAGGCCTGCCACTAACTGGCTGTCAGACCGTGGCAAGTACTTAGCTTCTTCACACAGTTCTGAGTCCTGAAAATGAGGACAGTGATAGCACCTAACTCGGAAGCACAGTAGGGACTACATGAGGTCATTTCCAGTCAAGTATCTGACACAGTGACTGGTTTCAATAAGTGAGGACCATTGCGATCTTCCTTCTCTCTGGGGGTTGGGCCCTTGCAGCTCTAAAATTCTGTTGTTATACAGCTATTTCATACCACATTCAAATACCTCCCCATGTACAAATACCTCCCTATGTGCCTATCCATGGGAGGGTTTAGGGCACAGGAAGAGGTAGGTGTTATTTTTGTTGATAAGAGAGTTCATTTTGCAGGTAATGAAATAAAGGCAGAAATCAGAGGTCAGCCAGCATCATATCATAAGGTAAAGGTAAGGTGGGAAAGAGGGCTGAGGTTGCCTTCAGGGACTAAAACCAAGTAAAATATTTGCTTAGTTCAAATTTGAATCAGCTCTGGCTTACCCTTCTTTTGTTTGTTTGTTTGGGGTTGTTTTGTTACATATAATAGCTGTTATGTAATCACAAGCTCATTTCAGAGTTCAGTAAGACAGTGACCTTTGGCCTCAGTCTCCTTTGAAGTCCAGCACACTGGTGCCTTTCCTCCACTTTGAGGTACCAGGTGGGACAGTCAGCCCCCTGCTCATTCCTTGCACAGGCTTCCCCAGGAAGTCACCACAGTAAGTTTGCATGTGATCTCTAACTGGGAGTGATTCTTGGCAGTTCTTAGAGTTAGTCACCTCCACTTCACTGGAAATTACAGTGGCATCTTCAGGTAAGGACAGCCTTTGGGGAAAGGAAGGCAGGGAGAATAGGAATTTGATAACCAGACCATGAGAGGGATTGCCGTTTCTCAAAATCGACCCTCACGAGACAAGAGGTGCTGTTTCACAGACCCTAGCGATTCTTAGAAATGTCTACAGGGGCCTGCTCATCCAACTGTTATGTTCCCTAATGCCTTGCCCTAGACATCCAAAGAATTCAACTTTCAGAAATAATACAAAGTAACATAAAGCCACCTATAGCTCTTATTTTATGTTAAAGTACCCTATCACATAATCAGTTTAAAAAGTCACATAATTAATAAATTATACAATTTGAAACCACTCTTGGGAATTTATTCTAAGTCAAAAAATAAGAATAATATGTCAAGAAACTAAACTCCACGCACGGTGGTGCTCAACGATCATTATGAAAACCAACTAAAAATGCAAACATGTTTATGATTTCCAAATACAAACATTGTATTTATGTTAAGTTTTCTTGGGTTTTTCTGGTGGGGGGGTAAGATTTTTTGGTGTACTTCAAATTTTATTTAAAGAAATGTTACACAGACTGGTATACATGAAAAAAAGAAGTTATCAAATTAGTAAGACAGAGGTAATGTTTATTTTAATGGTTTTGCATTCATTAGTGTATGAATTATTTAAAAAACAATAGAACAATCCATTGAAAGCAAATTTGGAAAATTAAGTTCAGTGGAGTGGAGATGTTAAACAAAAACATAATTTTACAGATAGTGATATTATCTTAAGAGTAACTTAGAATTAAGTTTCTTTTCAAGAGATGTGAGTTATAATTCTTACTTGAATTTTTGGTTATTGTTGATCCTTTCCTGAAATTTCTCCCTGTCTTTTTTTTTCTCTCTGACATTAGACAAATCTGTATTTTCATTTTAAGGATGTTTGTGAAGTACTTTGAAACAAAACAACACAAAAGGTAAAAGCTCATGAAACAAATTATTAGGACTATTCTTATTAATACTTACCAAGAGACAATTACCAAAATAACCCACGTTTCATTGATAGCATTCGTTTTATCACTGAACGTAAAAGCAAACATTGTACTGGAAATTTATTATATTTCAGTCTCTGTTAGTAGCTACCTGGGTACAAGTTCAAGTCATTTAATCTCTCAATGCTTCAGTTAATAGTCTATGCAAATCATATCTGCAAAAAGGGACTGAGAGTGATAAAAGGAAGGAAATTCAGTTTGTGGAGTTGAATTATGAGTGAATCTCTTCATTTTATTTCAATTTATCAAAATGTTTTACAATAAATAATGACAAATAGTATCTTTTTGAGAACTTCACAACTATTTCTAAACATGCCAGAAAAACAGACTTTAAAAAAAGACTAGAAGGAGCAACTTGTTCAGGACAAATAACCAATCAAGTGTCTCCTGCAATAAAGTAATCTGCCCTTTTTATTTATAACTTGTTAAGTTTCTCACTTGCTGGAAGGAGTGAAAGGCAGAGCAGCATAAATTACCTTTTCTTTTGAAGACAGCGTGGGGTGTACAAACTTCCTGTATAGGAGGCTGGAGCCTTTTGTGTAGGGAGATAGCAACCAGGCTACAAATGCTATTTTTAGTTCATAATAGAATGGAAACCTGGAGAGAGATGAAAAATACACATTCCCATTAGGTTCTTGGCAACACTGCCCTGGGCCTGGGAAGGACAAGACCCGGCACAGACACCTGTCCTGCCTGCACAGGGCAGAAAGGCCCCCAGATTCCTCCTTTCCCCGCCCATCAAGGTGTGTGCACATATATGCACACGCACAGCTCAAGCCCAAGGCCTCTTTTGAAAGTCAGGAACCCAGGTTCAGTCCAGCAGCCGCCCCACAGCCACACCTGACAACGGCAGGCACTTCCGGCCCGGCTACACTCATTTAGGCTGGAGTCCCTGCCCCAGCCCCAGCCTGCAGGCTCAGGCCCCTGTGCCACACGCCCAGCCATTCACTCCTGCTGGCGGCCAAGAAGGCACAAGCACCTGGAGGAGACAGAGTGGGGCAGGGCAGACAAAGAATCTCTTCTGAGAATAAAATCCTCCCCTTCTTGGCTATCTTCTCAGCCCCAAAAGAGGCAGGGACAGGAAGGAGGATGCTACTCACCCTACTCAAGTCAACTGCAGGAAAACAGCTTATCCTTCAGGTATCCAAGAAAGCAGAGTTGGGGGCACAGGTAACACACAGTTCTGGAGTTTGAGTCCTGCATACCATTCATTCATTCACCCCGTAACCACTTACCCAGAACCTACACGTGGCAGCTTGTGCTGAGCACTGAGGGTGAGCAAAGATCTGATCCCTGCCCTCTTAGAGCTCCCAGTCTAGTGGGAAACACAGACAAGATTCTGACATCATTGGAACTGATAGTCCAGTCAGGGGAAGAGAGAGTAAGCAAATACTCCCAAATAAGATAGAAGAGCAACCTGAGACAAGTGCTATAAAAGCCTTCCACTAACCCATGAGGTGTCTTTGTACACACTGGAAAAAGCCAGCCCATCAGATGGGTGCAGTGCCGCAAGCACATCTACCACACACAGGCTTCGTCCGGGTGGCAGCCCCGCACTCCTCCTCGGCCAGATAGCCTGTGCTATGAACAAACTGAGCAACCTTCTTTGGCTGTCCTGATGTGCACTAACGACATCTGACTGACTCCTTTACTTGGCTCTCACTCTCTGGACCACTACTCACCTGCCCTTATTATTCCAGAGTCGGGTGTCACACAACCAGGGACAGCTCCTACATCCCAGAGCCCACCAAAATTATTCAATCCTAAACCTGCGAACCCTGCCTTGCCTGTTCCTTTCATGGACACCCTAATACAGGCTCTTCCCCACACTTCCTACCTCTGCCCGCACATGGTCCTTCAGTCCTCTGTTCCTAGGGATCCGTGGGTGTAACAAATTTCTTCCTTCATGAGAGTCGCTAGTGTGCCTGAGTGCCTCACCATACTTGATTAAAACAAATCCTGGGAGCCCTTAAACCCTGATGCTCTGAGGAAAATGACACTTATGCTAGACTGAGGAATCGGAGAAGTAAGTTCCTTTCAGGCACCCTCCCATACAAGAGGCAATTTCTAGCAAGTCATTTCAGAGCCCTTTAACTGTCACACAGGCCCCAATCAGAGGCTCAAACCACTCCTCTCCTCACCGAGGTCTCCTGGTCCATTGCCTTCTGCCTCTGGCAGGCTCTTCCTGAATAACCCCCTCAGCAACGAGAGAACACTTTCATGTCAAGATTGTTTAATGTTTCACAGCCAGAAAGAGAAGGGGCTGAAGGATCAGAGAGGAAGGCAAACAAATCTGGAAAGCTCAGTCATCCACACAAGATACACAGATAATTCCAAGAGGATCTGTCCACTGTGCTCTTCCATTTATTATGTAAAAAATATTAAAATGGGTAATGGATGCATATAGTTTGAAAATTCTAAATGTCCAGAACACATACAATGAAGAGACTCCTTCCCATCTCAGACTCCGAGTTCCCTTTTCCAAAAGCAAAACCATCATCAGTTTCTTGGGTGTCCTTCCGGAAGTAGACCAGGGCTAAGGAATACCATCACGTGGGTGTACACGAGTCCCTCAACACCCCCATACACACACAGTAGCTTCCTGTACTCCCCTCCTATCCCTTGCCTCCTCCACCACACACACGCACGCGCTTAACAGGATCCTCTGGGGATTATTTCAAACTGCTTCTGGAATCATCACACCAGGACCAGGCCTTTGTCATACATGGATCATTAGGTTCTCCAGGCTGAACCACTCAGACCCTGTGTTTCCCAAGAGGCCTTGGGGGTCTCGGCCCTACCAACAAAATCACCCCCAACCAAGTCTGCTTCCAGCCAACTTAGCACATCCGGCCTTCCCCCAAGAAGTGGAGAAGGACCCTGCTCATTCTGGGAGGTCCTGACCCCCAGAACGTGTGTGAGGAGAGAAGGCCCGGCGCTCCCGCCACATCGGCCCCACGGCTTCGGAGGAACAGGCCCCTGGGGCGGCTGTAGCCTCCACACCCCTGCAGCATAACCCCTGCCCCGTGGGGGGGTAAATGTTGTCTCTGAGGGTTGGACAAAAGATAAAACTGTCAAAAATACAAGTAACACTGGTAACTTTTAGCAGTGGTATCTCTGGGGAAAGATACTGAGAGAGGAGAGACTTTTAGTGCATTTCAATTTTATTTTGCCATGGGCATGCAGTATTTTACACTTTTAAAAAACTAAATTAAATCACCTACACAAATTGTGAAACAAGCCACCATTCTACTTCTTCTGTCACCACATATGATTGCTGTTCTCATGAAGACACTATGTTTTTTAAAAGTTAATTATGAAGAAGGTACCATCCTAGGGGAGGGGCGAGAAGAGGACAAAATGGGTGGGGAGTGAGACAGAAACCTGAGGGGCGATCTACAACCCTGGGTGTGAACAAAAGTTAACGGCATTTCTAGGAAGCCAGAAGGTCCATTTTAGAACAGAAACTCTTCTTTTTTTTAATTATAAGGAGAGATTAGGGCTGCTGAGCTGGCATCCATGTCCCTGGAAGGGACACAGGGCTCTCTGCCTGCTTCCAGGGCGAGCGGACGGACGGAGGGGGAGGGAGGGCTGTCCCAGAAGAAAACTGATCTGTAACGCTGCAGACCGGCCGAAAAGGAGAAAGCAGGCCGAGGGCATGGCGAGGCTGTGGGCTACCGCGAGGAGGAAGGGCTTTCAAGGAACCCCTTCCCCAGAGAAGTGAGGCTCGGGGCACCAGGGGAGGGCAAGGGGCCTTTATTTCCCACCCAGAAACAACGTGAACAGTTCCAGCGAAGGGGACCAGATAAGGCTTCTACATGGATCAGGCAGAGAGAGTGATCCTACCCATACTTGAGTACGTCATCCAAACACACCAGGTAACAGACGGCCTCCTGCAGGAGGCAGAGTTTTGACCCCATGACCTTCTCGTCCTGGTCTTACTCCCATAATACGTTCTCTTAACGTGGCAAAAGGGATTTTATAGGTGTCATTAAGATTATTTATCAGATGACTTTAAGATAGGGAGATTATACGGGATAATTGTGGTAGACTTAATCTAATCACATGACTTTTTAAAAAATATATTTTTAAAAAGATTTTATTTATTTATTTTTAGAGAAGGGAAGGGAGGGAGAAAGAGAGGGAGAGAAACATCAGTGTATGGCTGTCTCTCATGTACCCCCCACTGGGGACCCACAACCCAGGCATGTGCTCTAGACTGAGAATTGAACCAGCAACCCTTTGGTTCACCCTTTGGTTCACGGGCTGGCAATCAATCCACTGAGCCACACAGGCCTAATCACATGACTCTTAAAAACAAAAGCAGAGATCTCTCTCTGACTGGTAGCAGGCAACAGACATTCAAAGCATGAGAAGAACTTGACATGCCATTGTTGGCTTGAAGATGAAGGGGGTGGCACATGTCAAGGAATGGGGACCTCAGTCTTACAGCCGCAAGGAACTGGATTCTGCCAACAACCTGAATGAACCTGCAGATAAGGGCGCAGGCTGGCCCACGTCCTGGTTTTGGCCTCGTGAGGTCCTGAGCAAAGGACTCAGTTGATTCTACCTGGACTTCTAACCCACAGAAACCATGAAATAATAAATTTCTGTTGTTTTAAGCTGCTAAATTTGTGTCAATTTATTACAGCAAAAACAGAAAACCAATTCACCTCCCAAAATCAAAATCAAATCAACTCCACAAATGGCTGTCAAGCACTTAAGTATAAAATTCTAAAATTTCAGGTCCACAGATAAGGACGTATTCCAGGTACCAGGGAGGGGCGCATCTATCATCAGGCAGGATTCCCATTCAGCCAACAGCAGCAAGACTGAAACACCGATATTCCTGGGGAGGGCTCCTAAGACCAACACTATTCCCCACTGACGTTCACGGGGAGGAAGAGGAAGACAGCAGGAGGCCACCCAGCACCAGGCAGAGAATATCGTTAAGAGGGAAAAGTGGGTAACATGAGCTGAGCATGCTGTTCAATTGACTACAAAGCCCTCCCTGGCCCTGGGCTGTTACCCTCATCTCCCTGGGACACAGAGGGGCCACCCCCATGAAGCTCTGCATAAAATGAGGTCTGGCTCCGGGGCCTGGGGAACACACAGGATGGTTCAGCAGGGTGCCTTCTCCGCTCCTAGGGGCTTGGCCCTGTCCCGAGCTGGCTCTTTACCCGGGCGACGCAGGGTGGCATGAGCACGTTAAACTAGGTAATCCAGAGGCCACAATGCCCAAGGCATCTATTTCTCCCAGTGGAGATGAACACAGAGCCCAGAGCCAGGCTCCTTCAGGGGAAAAACTACCTACTAAGGTCATCGACCCAAAACAGGGTTCAGAGGAGTGGTGTTTGGGTCTGGTCCTTGGCCTAGGACAAAGTGGAGGGTAAGCTCCTTTTTGGGTAAGGACTTCTTTCTCCAAAACGGAAATATCTATTATTTTTTCTGATATGTGAACATGGTAAAACATTCAATACATAAGATAGCAAATGTGAAACCAACTGCATGATCCCAAGTTGTGAAAATGACCCTGGTTAACTGATGGGTGTTTTCCACACGACTTAGCAAACATTCACACGGACACAGACAAACTCAGTCCCTTTAAATAGAAACAGGGCACTATATATTATTCATGGCCTCTTTCACCTAAAAAGATACAATATATCAACACATAGAACTAGCTTATGATCTTTACTTGCTTCACTGCATAACAGCTTCATTGTTTACAAGAGAAAAAAATTGTCCACCAAAAGGGGGTTTATCAAGTAAATTATGGCCCATCTATACCATGGAAATCAACAGAACTCAGCATGCGAGGTGGCTGGGGCTGTTCAATTTAATGTGGCCATTAAAAATATATCTACTTATGCTTATGTGTATATGTATGTATACACACAAACTTTTTTCAAGTAAAGTATATATAACTGTGAATAGAGCTACAGTGAGAGTGAACACTGTGGAAGGAAAACTCAGTTTCCTCACACACTTTTGTGTGCTTTTTCTTTCTTCTTTTTTTTTTTATTTTAAACATGTGAATGCTTGTTTACCAATTCCATTCATTGAGGAATTGTGTTTATCTTGTCTAAAATTATATCATTATGAGAACAAAACCTGCTCTTATAAGGTCATTCAATAAATAAGTACTTGAAGAAAAACTTTACAGAATAATTTATTAAAAACGTCCCAGTTAAAAGGCCTGCCCCTGTTTCTCTGTTCCGCAGTAAGGTCTGCGGCTGCTTTTAGACCTTTCCCACCTTTCCCCTGACACTAGGTAACACCTTCCCTTTAAAAGTCCCAATTCTTGGAGTACTTACCAACAAAGGAAGATGTCAGTGAAGGTCTCTGCTGTGGTGAAAAGTGCAAATATAATCCAGTACATCATCCATTTGACCTGTGAAGGATAAAGCAACAAGGCTAGCAGAGGAGGTCAAGGGTGAATGGCTGCCCAACATCAAGAAGAAAAGGCCCAGACAGTGGATGCTGAGGCATGTCCAGGCAGTGCATCCTGCATTCCCAAGTCCCTCTCCCCATCTTTCCTGAGCTTATGTCTAGTTCTACTCCAGACCTTGGGGCTGGAGGCAAACAGGCTGTTCCCACAACCAACCCAGGTTCATGGTCAATGTAGACCCTGGGTGACCTTCAATAGCCTTCAGGTGAGCCAGGGAGCCCTGCAGGCCAGGAGTGACTCAGGACCCTGTCAGGTTATTTTTCTAAGACTAACACCAGGTAAGTAAACTCTCCAGAGACACACCCTGAAATGAACTTTAACAAGGCCAGACTCTTTGGGATGGAATGGTGGTAATCCTTACTGGCCACCTGAGAGCCCTTTCCTGCGGGAAAACTCCACAGCCCCTTGAAGACAGTGGACCTTTTAAAAAAATCTCTCCCACATGACCATCCATTTCCACTGCCGCTGCCTCTCCCCCGCCGAGGCTTTGGTCCTCTCTCTCTCCTGAACTACTGCAAGAGACTCCTGTTTCCCTTGTTTCGTGGCTTTCCCCTCACCAACCCATCCTAGAAACCACCCCTGTACTACTCTTCCAAAAACATGAGCTCATCAGACTACTCCTTAATTTGAAGTCTTCCAGCCCAGGGAAGGGGATGCAGAGAGGGCCCAGGGGTGCAGAAGGGCTGCTCTTGCCCACGCCACTGCCACCTTGGTTGGAAACCCAGGAGGCTGCTGTATCCTGTCCTCAGAACAACAGAACTCAGCATGTGACGTGGCTGGGGCTGTTCGCCGTGCGGACGCTGCTGAAGGCCACTGCGGACGGCGAAGTCTTGGCAGGGTCATCAAGCAGAAATCTTCCCACACTTCTCTAAAGTCCCACTACTAAGCCAACGGGGAATATCCTTCATGTAACTTTCAGCTCTACAACTGAGTCTTCCAAAAGCACTAGGAAACCATCTACAATTCCAGTTTCCTCAGTGACAGTCCTTAAAACCGACAGTTAAACCGTCAACAACACTCGTTTCCTCAGTCTCAAAAAATGTAACAGTCACCACCCTGAAACTCATAGTGACACCAGCAGTCTCAACAAAGATGACTTCTAGCACCTTAAAGTCTACACTCAAAATGACAAGTATTTCACAGGACACATCCCAGATGTCAACATCCATGATGACCACAACCCACAATAATTCGGTGACATCTGCTTTTTCATCAGTAACAATCACAGCAAGTGGAAATTCTAAAGAAAATAAAGGACTAAAATTTGATATTGGCAACTTTGTTAGTGGTTTTGCATTAACACTGAGAAGTTTATCTATTCTTTACATTGGATGCAAAATATATTATTAAAGGAGAGGCATTTGGTATAGAACCATTGATAAACACGATGCCATCATTTAAGGAAATCCAAGGACCAATGGAAAGAAGGTTGATGCAGCCCTATCAATTCATTTAAGACACTATTCTCTTTTTGAAAATAGTTTAAAACAGGCCATACATATAATGTATAATATGTAAACATGTAAAGATCCCTCATGATTACCAAAGGCAAAAAGGGTTTGCTCTGGGTTTTTAATGAACATTTGGAGCATACAGCTAATGCAATGGTTATATTCACTTTTAGAAAACATATAGTAAGATGAGCAAATCTTGTCCCATTAGTCACAAAGGGTTTGTAACTGGAAGACATCATCACTGAAGGGCATGATGCCACCTCGGCATTAGGTAAGGCGCCTGTCGCAGCACTCAGGACATTGACGGTCTTTGTTGCTCACACAAGAACATTAGCGCTATTCAGAGATGGATGTATTGTGATTACTCATGCCAAACAGTAGAAATTTTAGAGTAAACCAGCCCTTACACATAATTTTAGTTTATATATCTCTTCAGAAAACATCAATATTTTATGTATTTTAAAGCTTAGGACCTGGTCGGGAAACAAAATGTATGCATTTCTGTCCCCCTCCCAAAAGATCAAATAAAACCAGAAATAATACCTGGACTCAGCCCTGTTAGAGAGCCACTGGAGAGCCTGTATTTTTACTAATACCTTCTTGTAAGCTTTCAGGGGTAGTTAATTTATTTATCTTTTTTTACTTTCTGTGAATTGTAATGTTTGACATGATGATTTTTAAAAATATTTTTAAAAGATTTTATTTATTTTTAGAGAGAGGGGAAGGGAGAGAGAAAGAGAGGGAGAGAAACATTGATATGCAAGAGATACATCGGTCAGTTGCCTCTTGCACCAACTGGGGACCTGGCCTGAAACCCAGTCATATGCCTTGACCAGGAATCGAACCAGCGACCTTTCAGTTCACAGGTCAGCCCTCAATCCACTGAGCCACACCAGCCAGAACGAACATGATGATGTTTTAAAAATTTAGTTGTTAGTATTAAATAAGAAGTTAAGTAATTATATTATTTGCTACTGTGAGACTATCCTCACCACTGGAAATTGCTTTATTTTATATTCAGCTATTAATTCTATATTTAGTGAATATCTTTAAGAGATGTAAACATGCTTTCAATAGCTAGAAATGTGTAATGTAGTACAAACATGCCTAACTTAACAAAAGCCCCTTATGTGATTGCCAAGACAACATTTAGAACTCTACGCAGTCGGAACTAGAGACTGATGCTGTGTTTATCAAGCCAAGGATTATGGAGGCCCCCTCGAGCGACTGCACCAACAGGATGAAGTTGCTGCATTTTCCTGCGCTGTTGACTTCAAAAGTTGCAGAGAGAGCATTTTTATATGGAAACACCAATGTATTTTGGAATAAATTCTTGTGAAGTTTTAAAACAGGGATTCTCAAGACAGAGAACTTCCTGCTTCCTTAGAGGGTGGGTCAAAGGCAAGTTTATAGTTTGTATGGAAGATAATACAATAATTAATAAATAGTAACACAAGAATAAAGTCTGAGTTTCACATCCTCACAGCTGTGAACCTACCCTGTATTTGGGTATTCTTCAGATCACTCCTCTTCCTCCCTTGCTGAAGAGGAGGCACTTTTAGTTGTACTATGTTAACAGAGAGAAAAAGCACAGTACTATAGGAACACCAATAGTTGCCAACATATCTTGGAGCGTTTTCAGTTTAACAGTTTATATGCTAGCACTCAAAACTCAGGATCAAGTTTTGACAAAAGAGGTATTTATTCATACTAAATACTAAGAAAGTATTTCTATTTTAGATTAGTCAAAGTGTGCCTTGGCCGGGTGGCTCAGTTTGAGTGCTGTCCTGTACATCAAAAGGTTGTGGGTTCGATTCCTGGTCAGGGCGCATTCCTAGGTTGCAAGTTTGATCCCCGGTCAGGGTGTGTATGAGAGGTAACTGACTGATGTGTGTGTGTGTCTCTCTCCCCCCATCCCTTCTGCTCTTTCTAAAGTCGATAAGCACAACCTCTGGTGAGAATTTTTAAAAAAAAAAAAAAAAGAGGACAATGAGAACAACAATCTTAAAAATCCCTTTCCTTGACAAAACACTTAGCTACAAACTTCTCCAGTGAGTCACTTACACTTGCAATGTGCACTGTCATCCCCTACTTAGTGCACTGCATCCATTACATCAATATTGCTCTCAGTGGGGTTTCTGTTTTATAATGTACTTCAAGGAAATGTACAGGACTCTTTTTCAGTGTTTTACTTGACTTGCTTGACTTTTTAGCTGGATGTGAAACTGTGGCTTCCTGAAAAGTTTGCCCAACACAACTGTACTGGATTCCTCTTAAGTTTCTGGCTATTTCTCAGGCCCATCAATTCCTCCCCAGGGTTTTATTTTAGACATTCTCTTCTAACTCTAAGCTAGACACTCCCCCTGGGTAAAACTCGGCACTTCTCATGTAACTCAGCCAACCAACCAGCAAGTTCTATCATTCTGCTTCCTTCTCGATCTGCCCTCTATATTCCAGTCAGTATGATCTTGTTAAATCCAAATGTGATGATTCTCCTTCCTAGCTTAAATCCTTCAATAGTTCCTTATTGCTATTAAGATAAAGCCCAAATTCCTTAAATCGGCATAAAAGTCATTGCATGAATTGGACCCTAATTACATCCATAAAAGGCTCTCCTCACCCATACGATCTTGAACTTTCCACTCCAGCTATCATGGACCTCTTTCAGTTCCCTGAACAGTGCATCTCCTTTTGCCTCCAGATTTCAGCCCTCAGATCTTGGCCTAAATATCATTTCCTCCAAGCAGTGTCCAAGGTTCGGGTAAGCACAGTCTCCCTTCTCCCTCCCACGGGGTCATAGATGCTCCGTCATAACACTTAGCACTCTGCTGTGAGAGTACCTGTTTATTCCCGTGCTTTTCTGTCTGGATTACAAGTTCCCTGAGAGCAGACACCAGTTCTTTTTTGCACACCATTTTATTTCTAGTGCCCCAAACAGTTCCTGGCACATAGTATATACTCAATGAATACATTCTGAGTGACTGGATTAAAATGTTGGCATTGTCACTGGGAAAGAAAGGATGGTTTCAACAAGGTTGAGAAGGAATATCCTTTGGGAAATATTCGTGTAGGTGGATTTTTGAGAAGAAAAGACAGAGTCAGGATGCTTTCAAGGCAACAGATGCTCCCCACGAGCACCTGCTGAAGGAATGGATGGGTATACATAGAAGGAAAGTGGCCTATTGAAGTTGGGGTGTCGTGTGACATGGAGCCACTTATACGAGCAAGAAAGTAAAGAAAGAGGCAACTTAGGGAGCAGAGGCTGAGCTCCATGAAGCTGACGGCAGTTTGAGGGTCCAGGAGACATATAAGAAGAATGCCAACAGGCCTCTGGAAAGGCAAGACCAAATCTCAGGAGGGAGACCAGGGCTACGGCCAAAGTTGAAGGAGCCATGGCAGAGAGAGGCTGGAAGTGTGGGCCTAAAGAAGTTTCCATTAAGCACTCCTTCACTTAAAAATGCTTTCACGCAGAATGGATGGTCTGAGAAT